GTGGTTATTATTACTAATTGCTTTCATCTCAGCTTCCACCAATAAGGTGAAAGTTTGGCTTGGTAATCTAATGGAATGTGTCCTCTTAGAAAATAAAACCTTTTTATCTTATTTTCTAAGGACACAAAGCTTATGCAACAATATTATCCGTCCGTCCATCCATCCATCCATCCATCCATCCATCCATCCATCCATCCATCCATCCCCAGAGCATGCTACCCACTTTGGCAAAGGGATAAATACATTTAAATATCTTATACTGTTTAAAAGATAAGCAAGCTAGGAAGAGGAGAGTCAAATCAATGCCTCCCAAGAGATAAAACCTGCTGTTGTGTGTTCTGTATGATCTGGGGCCTGGTGTAATGTGTTCTGTATGATCACTGGCAGTGACAAGGGACAGGCAGGAGCCAGCAGTACTGAAGTGACTTTGTGGTGGCATACAAGATGACATTCCCCTGAAGTGAATCTGGAAAAAAGGATAAAAACATTTAGAAGATTTGCAAATTCTGCTGTTCTTGAAGTAAGACTATTTTCCTTTTTTCCCTCCATTTCTTTCAGTCACCCAAGACCATTCACATTGGCAGTGCAGCATTTACTTGGAAATTTCTGTACCTCACATGAGACATCTTCTGCTGTACATCCCACAAATCAAGCCTACTTCTCAAAGTCTGTGTGGAGGCTCCAGGCCCACAGGGTTTGATTCTTGCACCAAACCCAGCTTGGTAAGTGGTTTCCTCTTTCTTTTATCCAAGCAAACACTTTGCCAGGGGTCAATCACTGCTTCTTTACAGACATCTGTACAAATTTTTGTTCTTGTACTAGTTCCTAGGACAATTGTACATTCCTCTTACAGCTTCCAGGCTTAATATTTATTTGTGTGGTACATTTGGCTTGGTAAGGAATTTTTCTCACCTTGGCAGAGGCCTGCAGGCTGAGTTTCACCATGGCCATTCTGAAAGGACACTTGCACCACATCCCAGAAACTCGTCTTCTTCTGGGTTGAGATGCTGCTAGTGCCAACAAACATCCATGGAGCTGCAGGAATACCCAGAGCAGCAGCAGCAGGGAAGGCTGTGGCCAGACCACAGGGGTGTCAGCATCCACAGCAGCTTACTTTGAGGAAAAGGAGGTGAGAGAAGGAGTAATGAAGAGGAGTAATGGGAGGGTGTGGGAAAAGTGGGACTAGGGCTCTGTTTTGGCTAAAGACCCTGCCTGGTGTCTGCAACATGAGCATGCAACCCTTTGGGTACTTTTGATGGTAGCAACATGTGACACAGATGCCTCACTCCTCAGAGCTCCCTTCCTACCTCTGAAAGGGCTTCCTTCCCCAGCAGGGTATGGCATGCATACATGTTCCTATGTATGTGTACAAATGTGCCTGCCTGTTTCCCTGTGTGGAGGAGCAGCACTGGGATCTCCCAGCCAATCAGTGAACTTCAGTGGAAGGAAGTGCCTGCACCTCCTGCCTGAGGCAAAAGAATTTCTAAAAACTAATTCCCCAAAACGAGTGCCAAAAGGTTAATGAGCTTTGCTTCCCCACCACCCCTGCCAAGACATCTCCCCCTTCTTGAGGTGCTTACATGGCAGCTGGGCTCACCACAGCTCTGCTTCTCTGCACGTGGCTTTCCTTGTGAGGTGCCATTTGCCAGAAAACTAGGTGCTAGGCAGGGAGAAAACGTGAGAAAGGGTCTTGGGATCACCAGAAGTTGTACTGTCCTGAGCAGGAAGGACACCTAGAGCTGCCTTTTTGCATTTCCCTGCTCTGAAAACACTCTGACAGTCTGGACAGAGACAGCTTTGGGAGCTCTTGGAACAAGCCTTGGCAGGAGGCAGAGTCCAGGAGGTGCCAAGAGCAGCAATAAACCGAGGGGCTGAAATCAGGATGGGGAAATCCAAGGTCTGTGATGTTGGGCCATGGGAGATCATTGGGTGGGACAGCAAGAGACACATTCCTGTGGCTGCTTCTCTCTCAAAACCAAGGCTGTCTGTAAGGACCTAGGCTGTCTATCAGCCATCTCCTCCTCTCACATGTGCTAAGGACAACATGGTCCCCAGCAAGAGCAGGGATCCTGCAGCATTGTAGCACAAGGTGTCTGAGCTTGACAGAAAGATACAGGAGTCAGCTGAGCCTGGGGAAGGCATGTGGGCTGAAAGAAAACAAATGACCCTTAAAAAGGCTTTGACAGTTTTGGCTAAAGGCTTTGACAGTTTTGGCTAAAGGCTTTGACAGTTTTGCCACTGATACCCCAAAACCAAGACATGAATGGTCTCAAATAGGAGAATCTCCAGTCTGCCTAGAGCTTCTTTTGGAACGCTGCTGCTGTATTGAATCCCCACCACAACTCCCAGGGGCAATGCCCAGCTGTGTTGCAGTTATTCTCAAGCAATTTTGCTGAGGAAAACTGAGGCCATCTCACTCCCATGAAAGCAGGACTTTCCCTCTCTGCCTCAGAGCTTTGCTGGGGTACAGACAGGGTCACATGCCTTGGGATTCAATTAGCAAAAGTATGCAGCTCTTCATCCTTCCCAAACATCTGCCTGGAGGGCTGCAGCACTATTGGAAGCCCACAGCTAAGGCAGACATAGGAAATCCACTGAGAACAAAGGAAATATGCCAAAGAGCACCTCCAGAGCCCAGTGCTTTTCCAATTCAAAGGCAAGCCAAATCTACTCCGGCATCTAGCTTTAGAGACTTCTATCCCACCCCTAGGTAAATGTAATTTTTTTGGAGGATTAATTCAAATGGTTATGAATGACCCTATTTATGGGGTCTCTGCTATGTTTGTGCCTCCTAAGGCTCTCTGGAACAAGTAGTAGTTTTCTGGGGCACTGCCATCCACAAGATAAACTGCAGATATGAGCATTCCTGAAAGGGGCAGTCTTGGGAGCTGCCAGGGACAGGACTGTTGTGGTGGGAAATGAGTCAGCTGGAGCTGTCATCTGGTCTGGTCCCTGTTCTTGTCTTTGCTGCACCTGGAGCTGTTTTCAGGAAACACCACTTCTGTCCCAGTGGCACCAGCACACACTGCTCTTGCCTGGAGCAAGAACCACACACAAACAAGAGGTGATAATCAATCTGGGATGGGAGAGAAGTTATGTGGAATGGACAGGTCCTGTCCTATCCACTCCCATCCTGGGAAGAAAAAGGTGAGGCTGAATGAGACATGGCTCAGCTCCTAACCAGAGCCTGGAGCTTTCCAGGGAGCCCCAATAGCTGTGTGTCCACAGGACCTCTGCCCATGGCCATCCCACAGCATCCAACCCAGTCTGTTCAGTGCCTTCCTCCACCACATATCAAACAGCTGTGTGCTTCAGCCAGTGTGCCCACAGCCTTTCCTCCTCCACTTCCCTCCAACTAGTCACTCCCACCCAGGCCTCTTTTACTATTTAGCTTGTTGCTTTCAGGCCCATGTTTTTCCCCCCAGCTGCCCTACATAGTTACATCCTCTGTGCCCAGGCAGTGACGAACACACCTCCCCAGCTCACGCATGTCAGGAACTCTCTGCTGCTCACTGTGCACAGGACACTACACAACATGACCCTGTTCCTGGTTGCAATGGCAGCAGCAAACACAATGAAGATGACAGCATTTGCATCATCTGCTATCACTGCCCAGAAATGTTTCTCTATAGTGTGGTAGGCAGACTCCATTACAGGATTGCTTGGGATTCTCATCTGCAGCAAACTCCCTCTCACAGGCTGCTGTGTGATGGCATTAACTCTTCAGTACAAAGCCCTCCTCCCACCTCTCAGAGGTTTCTACCCTGCTCCTCTAAATCTTCCACAGAACCTGGATTTTTCCTGGCTGACCTGGGTCTCTGCCTTGTCTTTGTATCTGCTGAAGTTCCTAGGAAGATCTGATAACTGAAATCACCACTCCTTTTCTTCCTCTCCAAAATACAAGTTTATTTCAGTGAAGAAACACCAGTTTACAGCTGAGGCTCAAACCCGCAAGGAGAACAGGTGTTTTTCTCCTGGTGCTTTGTCTGTCTCACAATTTGACAATTTTGCTTTCAATTGTACTGGAAAAGCTAACCTCAACTCTTGCCAGCATGGCGTCAACAATCTTTGGAATGTAAAACTAATGTCTCTCACATTGTATGTACTCAACTGATGCACCTTGGAAGTGTACACAGCTCCGCATTCCCCCTGCACTACAAGAATGTGTTCAGGCCTCTTCTTTGATCACAAGGACATGAGTTCTTATGTCTGTATGAAGGCACATCAAGGAAATGTGTGACAAATCTTGTCTCTTCAGGCCTTCCTGGATATGACCTTCTGGTCACTACCAGTTTATACAGCAGTAACAGGGCATATCCACGGGACCCCCGTGACTTCATCTCCAGTTTTGATTTTATCAAGAATTCTAGATTAATCTGCATCATGATGGATTCAAAAAATAAAGAAGCTGGGTTTATTAATGAATGTTTTCACACAGGCCCCTTCCCCCAGTGCAGTTTCCTCACACAGCATCATTTCTAGGAGGAAAGTAAGTGCACAGATGCTTCCCATGGCCTGAGCTGTGTGCGACTCGGTGAGTAGGGCTAAGGACACGTGCACCTAGCAGGGTGCACACTGCCAGGCAAAAGAACTGGCCAACCCAGTTGGACAGAGCAGCCTACACAGAAGAATCTCTAGATGAATGTGTTTACCCGATTACTGGAGGTTTCAAAACACAGGTTACCCAAACACCTGAAACTATGTGTTAATGCAGAGCACATGGATTCTTGGCACTAGGGAGAAGGAAAAACATCTTAAATACACCTAAAGTTCACTAGAACTGTGTGTCTGATGAAGAACTGCATCAACTGTTAATACGCACAAAGGCAATTTTCCACTCAGCAAGAAGAGTAGCAGATTATACTTAAAGATGGGAGAAAGCCCCCCTGGTCCAATGCTTGACGTGCTCCCCTCTTCCCTTCTCATAGCAGGGAAATGCAAAAGCAAGCTAAAATCCTTTGCAGGCTGTTTGAAAAACACAAACACACTCTGGATCCAGAGAGGGTTTAAAGTGCACACTTTTATTTTCTATTACAAAGGCTAAAAGAAGCAAGTTTGGTTTTTCTTTCTTTATTTAAGAACAAAAACAAAAATGTTGTTAAAACATCTACATATTTATCCTGATACTAGACCTTATGAAAGATACTAAGTTCTTTTTAATAGTAAAGCGTGGTATTCTTAAATTATATTAACATGAAGACATATTAAAGGACTCAAAATCATTACTACCCAGCTCAGAACTGCAGCATCCCCTTGCTATCTTTTCCTTTCACTTGCTAAAACCCATCAATTTTTGACATACAGTTTCATACAAGCTAAGTAGGGTATCTTTTGTTGGTTGTTGTTTTGTTGGGTTTTTTTTTACTTCTCCCTGTAAAGGCCTGGTTAACTCCAATGCCAGTGTCACCTAAATCCCTACCCCTACCAAGGAATTTGGGAAAAGATTTTCACTAAGTTCTTCAGCATTTAGTAAGTTTCTGCTCTGTGTGAATGTCAGTGGTTATTTTACAGATTATGAGATTTTCTTCTAATGTTATAAAATTAAAACATCACTTTCTTTGTTAAAAACCCTCGAATTTGGTTCTGTGCTGCAGAATTTTCTTCTTCTTCTCTCACACAAATAAAGAAGAGAGAGTTATCACAGGGTCTTTTGAACACACCACTAAAGCAGCCTCTACAATTTGTGGTTTATCTGCTGTAGAGTTGTGAGCACTGAGCATTTCTGCTGAGAGCACATAATGTGCTGAAGAAAACCCTCTTGGCCTGATAAAGCAAGCCTGGGAAGTCAAGTGTGAAACTTCCTGCCTTTCACAATGTCCCTTTAAATAATATAAGCAAAGCCTTATATTAAAACTTTACTCACTAGTTAGCAGTATAATACTCTCTAACTGAGATGGGACTGCAAGGACATCCTAAAGGGTTTCAAAAATGTGAACAGGGAAATCTGTCCCATCTCAAAGTTTATACCTATCTATATAAAACCCTCCCCTCTTTTCTTATTTCCCTTTCCCTATCCCAAATACAAGGCTTCATAATTAAACTGGAGATGCTGCGTTTCCTGGCCTGAGTCCTTTGCCTTTACCCTCATTTAAAAGATTCCTTCGATACCACACACATATAATATTATATAGAGCGATATATTTAATACCTGTGTATATATGCTTCATGGGAAGGGTCACATATATACACACTAAAACAAGTCTGGTGACGAAGTACTGCAACACCACAGACCAGGTTATCATATCAGGGAAAACAAAGAGACACTTGATGCAAACCCCATGACTGTGGGCCTCCCTCACCTCACCTCACCCTCTCCCCATCTCGGCCCCAGCCCGAACCTCTGAAGCCCCACTGAGCAGCTCAGCTCTCATTGCAGAGACGGGGAGAAGGGACAGTGACCCACTCTGTAGCTTGTTTAGGTTACATGAGAAATCACGGCTCAGCGAACGCTAGAGTCACACTGGAGATGAAGGTTTGTTTTAAAAATAAAAAACACATTCCAGTGTCCCCCAATCCAGATTTCCTTCCTTGGCATCTCTGCCCAAGATGAGCAGAAGAAGATAACCCAGGAGCTGATGCCTGTCTCCTCCCATCTCTAAAAGCTGGACCACTTGAGCACAAGGATGACCAGGAGAAGGTACTGTAGCTACCACAAAGAACAGAGGAGAAAATACAGCACCTGACCACTCAAAAACTGCCATGTCTGATATTGCTCATAGCAAACCAGAGACTACCATCCATATTTTAAGGGAGAGGAAAAACAACTTAGCAGAAAAGTGGTTAAGTTGCCCAGGAAAGAGGCCGAGTCCCCATCCCCAGAGGTATTTAAAAATACATGTAGATGTGGCACTTTGGGACACGGTTTAGTCTGGGACTTGGCAGTGCCAGGTTAACAACTGGACTTGATGATCTTTGAGGTCTTTTTCAACTTAATGATTCTAAGTGCAGAAGTGCATTCAGTTTACTTAGAGCACACTGCATCTCTGGAAAGATTCCAGCACTCTGCTCCATAACTGGACCCTAACTGTCCCAGTGGAGCTGAAGCACCCTCCTGAAGGCTGGTTTAGAAAGGTGACAGCTGCCCCACACCATCTCCACGTCTCCCGATTTCCACATCCCATCTCTTCTGAAGCTTTGAACCCCAAGGATATGGGAGCAGAGAGGAATGGGAGGATGCAGCAATGCTAAGACACCAAGCAGTTCATGGCCAGATTGTATTTACCATGGATACAGCCCTACCAGCCCCAAGGGCTCCTAGACTGCTGTCCCAGGAGAACCTGTATGAAAAAGGCATCCCTGACAAAGGCTGGGAGGGAGATGTGTTTGTGTTTGATTGGATGGTGCCATCCATGCATGCAAAACTGCAGAGCACAGCTGGACTGCAGAAGAGAGAAGGAGAGGGAAGCTCAGAACAGGGAGCATGTTTACTGCTTACAGGATGAGACTGACAGAAAGGACAAGGCTGGCATGCGGAGCAGCACCGCTTCTCACTGCTGCCCCTTCTAAAAGCAAAACTTCTGTCCCAGAGTTCAGCATTACTGGTTACTCATCAAAGCACACATCAGGCAGCACAAGAGCAGACCGTGGCTGGGTCCTGCTGTGCCACTCCTCCACCACTGTCCCTGCTCTGGGTTGCATCCTGGTTGCACTGTGCATCCGCGAGCTCCCTGCTCTGGCTCTGAGGAGGAGGGGGCTGGACCTCTGGTACTGGTAAGCGCTTCCAGCTGGATTCCCATTAGCTTAACGTTTCCTGTGCTGCGCAATGGTGTCCTTTTAAATGGGTCCCCACCCAGTTCTTCTGGCAGTGCAGGGAAAAATGCAGCTCTAAGTAACCAGAAACACATGCCATTTAAAGAGTGAGAAAGAACATCATTACCTCCCTCCCTCCCTCTCTTCAGGACACAAGGCAACACAGAAACACAGGCTCCTTTTGGTGACCACCTCCCTCCTGACTGATACTGCTGTGTGGACTCAGTGACACACACTGCATCACAGATTCCGCTACACCTCCTAGATGGGTTCTGTTTTACTTGCACCAGTCACACCAGCCAAAAAAACAAACCCAAGCTATCTGCCCTGAACACCTGCCACGCACTAAAAAAGACTTCTAATGAGAAGTCACCAACTTGCTTTCTGATTACAGTCACCTACAACCTGGTTCCTGCTGCTGCAAGCAGTTTCATTACTTTGCTCCTTTTACTTTGCGCTCCTTATACCACACAGCTGTTATCCTCCTCAGCACCAGTTGATGCCTCAGGGCAATACAGACAGCTAGAGCATAAGCCTAGATCTCTTAAGCCAAATCTAGTGGTTTTCCTTCTTTGCACCACAACTCCTTCTGGTACAAAACTCCCAGAAGAGCAAGAGGGCTGCAGCAGAGTAAGTGACGCTTAGTCTGCAGCACTGAGAAAAGGAACATACGAAATTCATGGTCACCTTTTCACCAGATTTCATAAAATCATAGAACAGTCTGGGCTGGAAGGGACCATAAGATCATTTAGTTTCAATCCCCCTGTCATTTAGAAGGACACCTTCCACTAGACCACATTGCTAAGAGCTCTATCCAACCTGGTCTTGACCAGTACCAGGGATGGGGCATCCACAACTTTTCTGTCCCTCTCTCTCGGCTCTGTCCTCCAGACCTCTGCAGTCATACTCTGAATTGAAAGACAGAAGAATGACAGAAGGAGAAATTCTCTGATTTGCAGCCCAGTACAGACTGAATTAATTCCTTTGAATGAAGGACAGTGAAAACAAAAAGATGAAGTGGAAGGAGAATTTGGGAGAAAGAAGAGAGAGAAGATGGATCACAAACTCAGTGAGCGTGGTGTCGCTGGCCAACGAGAATCAAATTCACAAATCCATTCACTAATAAATCATTGTCTCATAATCTTAAAACAAAAGAAAAGAAAAAGTTCTCTGCGAGACAGAGATCTCGCTCTCCCTGCTACCGCCATTCAGAAAACCCACCCCGTGTTTCTGCAGCTGACAGACTCCCCCCAGCTCACACTATACGTCATCCCGCAATAGGAAGTTGTATTTCCCGAAGTCGTCATCCCTGGGGCAGAGCAGCATGTCCTTGCGAGCTTTGGCCAGTTTCTGTTTCAGCACTTCCCTCCGGTCTAGCCACTCTGTCAGCTCGTCCTGCCCATGGGCATAGCGACACTCCTCTCCCTCAGGACAGGTCTTGTTCTTCTGGAACCTGCCAGCACAAGGAGCGCAGTCAGGAGGGCACCCCCAGTACAGGGCTTTGAGCTCTCTCTCTGGGATACTTGATCGGGACCCACTGAAACATGCTGTGAACTCTCCTTTTTAAGGGTGAGCTGATTGTCCTGCAAACCCATGTGCAGGTGGGAAAGAGATCAAGGCTGGGAAAAAAACAGAGCAGCAAAACCAGAAGTGGCTACAAGGGGATTTAGTCAAGTGCACAAAAAAATGTGAGCTGGAACTGGACCAGCAGGGATGAGGAAAAAATAATGCACAAGAGAGGAAATGCCAGGTAACCAGCATGAAAGAAAAGAACCTTCTTGCTAACCAAAGTGGCATTTTTAACCATCACAAGCTTTCTGAAGGCACCCTAAGGTGCTGATTCAGAGGGCGTGAGACATTCAAACCATTTAATAAGGCACTGGGGATTCCCCCAAGCAGTGGGCCAAGGAGGCTGCTCAGCAGCCTGAGAGCTGAGAGCATCCTGGCTATGAAGAGCACAGGTGCAGACAGGAAGCTCTCCTTTTCTAAAGACACATGCTCAGGAATGCGTTTTTATCCCTCAGTATTGTGGCTGAGCACCTCTGTCATCCAACAGCAGCCTCACTGTCACGCAAACCTGTCATCTCATCCCACTCCTCCATGCAGAAGTCTCCAAGAACTCTGTGAGAGGATGAGGAGGGATGACAGAGGCCCTGGGCCTGTTCCCCTGTCCCTGCAGCAGTGGCACAGGGGGGAGGTGAGATAATGGTACCTCTCGCAGAGCCGGAATTCGCCCATGGGGAAGCGGTAGCTCCAGCAGCTGGAGTCACTGTCTGAGGTGAAGACCTTCTCCTTGTGCTTCTCCGACTGGATGTGCTGCTGCCATTGCTTCTTGCTGTTGCTGTTTTTCCCACAGAGCCAACAGTGGTAGCCCATCTAAGCGGTGCAGACAGGGAAAAGGATCAGTCAGTGCAATAACATTCACATGCACTGGCCTTCCCTATGCTGGCACTGCCTCTCCCCCTCTCCTTCCAGAGCATCCTGGAAGGTCCACTCAGTCTACGACTACCCACACTTCTCTGCCATATAATCTTTAGGGAACTGTGCTGACACTAAAGGGGAACAGAGGAGATGCCCTGTCAGAGTTTGTCTATGGCTCAAACAGGCTCAGGGGACAGGGCAGCTCAGTTCATTGACATGGTGCCCCTGTCCCTGCTGATGGCCCCAGTGGGGTCTCACTGCAAGGTCCCCAGGTTCACAGGCAATGCAGGACTCTTCAGCAGCACAGACCCTTACATCAGTATCACCCATGGCATAAGGAAACATCTGCATCTAGTTTTCCAAGGCTTCTGTGCCAGCTCTTCTCCAAGCTTCTCCCTCTTCTGACCTGCAATGGTTTTGCCAGCTTGCCCAGGAGCAGGCAGGAACCCTGGAGAGAGGCTGAGCCCATGCTAAAGGGAACCTAAGGCAGACTCCTAATGACTTGGGGATTAACAGAAAAGCCATTGTAGAGCCTTGGTGACCCCAGGTCGATCTCTTCCCACTTTAGCTCTGCTGCCCCTGCTGTGCTGCTCCAAGCTGTCCCTTAAATCTACATTAATACAGGCTCTGTTCCACTAGAGCAATGAAGTCCCTGCTAGCACACCTGGAGCACAGGAGAGAGGCAAGCTGGCAGCACTGGGGAGGAGGAGGAGGAGGAGGAATGAAGGACAAGAGATCAGCTTATTACCATGATGTCTGCATAGTCAGTGGGCATCTGGATCTGTTTCTCCCCTTCTCGCGAGGTGAGTGGTGTTCCCTCTCCAGGCTTCCCAGGATTGTGTTTCTTTAGCCACATGTCATAGGTCTGCTGCATATCTAGTACTGTACAAAGATGACACATGAAGCCACTCTAAAAACCTCCCACCCTATCCACAAACTATGAGAAAAGGACAACCGCGGGGGCAGTCCTTCCCTCCCCTTGACTGTGCAGCAGCACCAGACTGAGGGCCTGTGCCCCATGTCACCTCCTCAGATAAGACCCCGGGGGAGAGGAGCAAATTCACAGCACACCACCTGGCACAGGGGGTGTCTTCTATCAGTCCAGGGCCAGCTGTGACAACAGCCACACAAACTTTTCAGAAAGGTGGCAAAGTGCTGCAAGATCTCCTTGGAATTCACCCCACAAGATGATTCTGCAAGAAGCCTGATTCTACTTGACCTCAGGAGACATCCCATCCAGGAAGCTAAGGCAGGGCTGGTTTCAGATCCATCTCTTCCCTCTAAGCCCAAGCTTAGAGGCAAGCTGGCCACAGGAAGCACTGCAGAGGGGAGGAAGACCTAATGATAGCTTGCTCTAAGTTCAAAACCTGCCCAGAGAACTGCAGTCAATGTATTTCATGGCTTTTGATTTAAAAGCCACTCAACATACTTGTGGGAAAGGGAAATTTGAGGTGGAAGCTTTAACTAGACATCTGCCTTTGCAAGATCAGCTCCTGAGAGAGGCTATGGAAACATAAATGTTTGCAGATATCGATATGATGCTCTAAGTGTGATGTATTAGTGATTTACTCCTTGCTAAATGAGTAATTGAGGAACTTGAGGTAACTGGGGATAATGAATGCAAACTCCCCCAAACCGAGACAATGCCGTTGTTTGAAGATTCACCTTTGTGCTTGAGTAAACACATCCAGACTGGTCTGATGTGCTTTAAAGGCCCAGCAATGACATGCTTTGAACTGCAACAAGTAACAGTTTGGCACAGCAGAGAGAAGGACCCTCCACAGAACCAAAAAAACTCAGGGCAGGCCTGAAATCCTTCAGGCTTTCCAGCAGCTCCAACAGAGGCAGGTGAGCACCTGGACAGCAGCCCCTTTCCCCCAGCCTCGTGTTGATCTGAATAAGCAAGGATTTCTGCCACAGAGCAGGCTGTCCAGGATATGGGCAATCCCCAACTATCACCCAAAAGCCTGCAGAATTAAATACAGACAAGTTCCTCCACAAAGGCACCACCCTGCAATGTCCTCATTCAGGATCTCAACTCCACCCCTTGGAACACAATGCCATGAGCAGGGAGTGCCACAGCCCAAGATCAAGGAACATGAGCAGAAATAGGTAAGACAGCCAAGGCAGATCGAAGACAGACAAGAAAGATACAGGAACAGCTACAGGCCAGGACTGGTGCTTTGGCAGAGCTCCATATAAAGCCAGGCCTGGGACATTACAGGCAACTGGAGGGACAGTACAGGGTTGATTCTAAAGGGATGATGCAGAAAGAGAGGGCAGCAGTGAAGCAATGTAAGACATAAAACTATTGTGGACTAGTCCCACAGCAAGGGACTCAAGAGATACATGCCCATTTATGAAAAGAGCAGCTGTAGACAGACCTGACCCATAATCCCACATAAACTCATGGCAGCAGCCTTGTCCAGCTCCATCTCTGTTGTCAAGAATATGTCTTAACAGACCCTCCAGATGTCCAAATGTCCTCTTCCCTCTCCCCAAACTCTCTGGCCCACATTTCCCCCACTCACTTTTATTTTCCTTCATGAAGGTCCACATGTCCCTCTCCTCAGGGCTGTGGGCAAAGGAGCAGTTGCCCACATACTGGCACTTCCTGCCATTCTGTGCATGGATACACAACTGTTAAAAGACAGAGAGAAAAATTTAGCATCTGCACAATCAGTCCTTGCTAGAGGGGAAAGTGGGTTTGATAACCAGCTGGGGCATTAAATTGCACAGGAGAGGTTGCAAACAGGACACTTTATATATCATTAACTCATGATTCTTTTCCTCAGTCTCTTGATGACACAAACACACAGGCAGTTCAGCACCTGCTGCCATTTCCATAGGTGACCAGGTGCAGATACAGGGCAACAGCAGGGAGCATCCTGGATTGACCCAATAGTGTTTCCTGCTGATGAAGCTGCTGGTCCCCAAAGGTGACTCATTCTCCAGCCATCTCTGAGTGGGTGAAGAGTGGCCTTACAGATTGCTTAGACCACATTGGTGCACACACACAGCTACTACCAACAGCATCATTGCCAGAGAAAATGTGAAACTTTCTAAACATCATATTTACTGATCATCTCTTCTCCCCCTGTCCTGGCACAAAAGGAGAACCTACCATAGGGTAGGGGGAAGCAGTTCTCTCCTTTCAGGGAAAAAAGAGAGGAGAGGAAGAAACTCTCTATAACGACATTTGGGGCTGGGGTTGGAGGCAGGATATCTGTAATTTTCCTCACAGCACATGGCTTTTTAGCTGAGTTCTTAGTTTTACTTTCAAAAGGCATTGTGAGCAAGTTTCACAATCTATAGTGCACAGTCACAGCAAAGGCAGGGATAGGCTTCTCCCAAGCGTCTTGCCTCTCACCCACATTGAGAAACCCTGACCTAAGGGGAGTCTTAAATTTCATTCCCAAACCCTGTGCCAGCCAGAGATGCATTAACAGCTCTTGCTATGCATTAGCAACAACACTGGAAACTCTCATTTGTGCACAGAGTGGTTTAAATGGGCCCTGCTCCTTCTTCTGCTCCATCCTTTTGCTGGATGTATTCTGCTGCCATCAGTCTGTTCTTACCTCCCATCTCAACCATCATGTGCTTGCCTCCCTGACAAGTCTTCAAGGGAGCAGCCCTTAAAACACTGCACCTTGGTGGAAGGGAAAGGGAAAGGGATGGGGCAGCTGGCCATGCTGGGCGTGGGGCTTACATCATATTGCTGTGGGAAGTTACGGATGGAAGGCAGCGGTCGGACTGACACCCACTTCTTCTTAGCTTTGGACATCACCAGCAGGACACGGCGTTCCTTCGTCCAGCTGAAGAAGAGAGAATAAATCAAGAGAGACATTAAGAAAGAGCAGAACAAGGGTTCTTTACCTCAGAGACCCTTAAACACTGAGAGATGAGCAGATCCTCCTGTCCAGCTTGTCCCTGCCCTATCTGGTGGTTCCTAGACATGCACATCTGTGATGGAGAAGCCACAAGAAGGCTATTTTAGGAGGACTTCTCCCTGTAAATGTTACCTATTTCCTGGGGTACCACTTCTCATAAAGCCACAAAAATTTTCCCCAAATCTCACATGGCATCACCACAGATTATTAAAGAGCTGCATTCCATCCTTTGACACAGCCAATTCTTGTGCAATCAGATCCATGAAGAACACTTGGGAATATTTTCAGCTTGAAAGGTGCAATAGAAATGCAAGTCATTACAAGCACTACTTTATGAACAGTGCCAGGAAGTATTTATTCTCCTGTAGCTCCAGCAAGGGATCACCAGGAGATACCCTGAGCAAAAACCCCAGCTCTAGTCAGCAGCTGCATAAAGAGGTGCTATTTTTCCTATCCCAAGAAACAATCCTCACCTGCTTACTTCCTCCAGAAACTGCTGCTTCTGTCTCTTCTTCAACAAAAGTCTTACATTTACAATATTAAGCTGGACTGTGCCTTTGTGGCTTGTGTTATGGGAAGACAAGTTCTATAAACTCTTCCATCCTATCCCTGCAGGCTGCCTGGGTGAGACAGGCCACAGTTTCCATGACCAAACAGTGACTTCCCAGCCAATATTTCTCTCCTAGGGGGATTACAAGACAGATGGCAACAAATTTTTTTAGTGGGGCCTATAGTGTTTTGATAAGGGGTACTGTCTTGAAACTAAAAAAGGGTAGATTCAGACAAGATATAAAGAAGGAATCTTTTATGATGAGGGTGTTGAAACACTGGCACAACCCAGAGAGGTGGTGGATGCCTCATCCCTGGAAACATTCAAGGTCGGGCTGAGAAACCTGATCTAGTTGAAGAGGTGCCTGCTCATTGCAGGATGGCTGGATTAGAAGACCTTTAAAGGTCTCTCCCAATCCAAACTGTTCTAGGATTCAATGCTTCTATCACACCAAACATTCTCATGGGCCCCAAGGAGTCAAGAAGTACAAACAGACATGGCATGCATCACAGAGGAGCAACCAAAGCAATGAAAGAGCCATGGGAAACTAATTTAAAAGGAAGCAGAGTATCTTGAATAATTTCTAATCGTGACCTGACAGACATCTGCAAACAGGTAAGTGTATAAACATGTGCAGAGGAGAACTCTGTTAGTGGCCTTTGTAAGAAGAAATTGTAGGAACTGGAAAAAAAGGGAATTGTAGGAGCTGGACTGCCTGTGCCAGGATTAACAGTCTGCACGATGCTGGCAGCAAATACCCACAGTAAAGAGAGAAGGAAGCTGGAAAACAGCTATCTGCAATGCCTGCTATAGTGACAAACACCCCGAACAGTGAGAGGCTTCTAGAAAACCTTACAGACTCTTCCAAAGATGCCAAATGAAGCCCTGGAGAAGACAGGATGAAAAATTCCTGCCCTTGAAGAGGGGTAGAGGAAAGGGAAGGTTGAATTGCTCACCAGTGGGGGGCTTTGGCACTACAGTACTTGAGGTCTTTATCTGGCTCCACCAGCTGCCCGTTCCTCCAGCACTGGCCACACACAAATTTCATCTGGAGGTCAAAGGTGCTTGACGTGGGATTCCGGGGAGAAGCCTGGGGAAAAGAACCAGGTGAACAGAGGCAAAATGCACCCCCAAACCTGCCACAGAGATTCTGGCAGCTTCCTGCACGCCTGTGTGCCAGCAACAAGCCAGATTCAATCAGCTCTCCTTCGCCAATGTTAGCCGGTGGCCCGACGAGATACCAGACAGGAGCAAAACCACTGCTTGCTTCAGCATGATTTCCTGGGCTTTGACATCTGGCCAAAAGCACAGACAGCCTGGCAGCTTCCAGCACTGACCAGGCCTGGCTGTGAAACCCCTGCAGTGTACCTTCGTGCACAGACAAGCTCTGTGAGACTTACCCCCGAGCTTAATGCCCACTTCCCTGCAGAGAGGGCAATCCATGTCCCACTCTGCCTGTGGAGAGTGCTTGGTCACGCAGCCGAGAGAGGCCCCTTGGGAGGAAGCTGGACCATAACACAATGCAGGACACAAAACTCCTGCTTTTGGACCAAGAACCTTGTGTCACACCCAACATTTGACAATAAAGTCAGAGCTGGGTCCTCTTGTTGATATCCTTCCAAGCCTTTTCTGGATAGGTTTCTATCTCTCACAGTTCCTCTGCACGGACTTTCACAAGCAGTTAAATCACAGTCTCTGGACAGAGGTACAATGCACATATTTCTTATCTTCTCAGCCATTGCACTTGTTGCCCCCACCCCACCTGAAAAGGCTAGTTTGGGATTATGATTTACAGACTGTGGAGAAGGAAAAGAAAAGGAGGTAATCTCATATCACTGGTGCCTCATGGTTTCTGAGCAAATCTCTGGAAAACTGTTTGCATTCTGTATCACCACTGGAAGAACACGAGGCTGGTGTCTCCAGTTCATTTCCGAACCAAAAAGCAAACCCGACTGGATGCCAGTGGCCCTCAGCACGGGAGTATGTGAGAGTACAAGAGAACACCCTGGTCATCGAGCTGGCCATGAAGCACAAAGGTCATGCACCAGCAAAACAATTCTCTGACTGTCAGCCACATCAGCAGCCCGTTCCACCTGCCATGCCTTGACTTTAACCCTGAGCATCTCACAATAACCAGACATGCAAGCTGAGTCCCTGAAGAGCAGGTTTCTGCCAGCAATTGATTAGCAGCAGAATGGAGCCTGGCTGCATCCCTAGGTTAAGGGGAAACAGCAAGCACAGGCAGCACAGAATCAAAGTATTTCCCAGGAGAGGCCACATCAGCTATCAACTACCACTGCATCCTCCAGACATAGTCTTCTGGAGAACCAGAGCTGACATGTAAAGGGTCCTCTGTCACTGTGAAAGCTGACTGGGGAGCTGACCTCACCTGTGCTGCATACATGAGGCCATCAGCTCTCTGATGTCCCAGCAAAAGGACCCTCCCAGAGAACCAGCATCTCTTTTGAAAGAGATAATCTCTTTTGAAAGAGGGTAGTCTCTCTTCTGGGAGAATGACCTTTCTGGTGGCTCTCAGCACATGACTCGTTCATCACTTTCTGTCAGCTGTCACCTGTGCTGGTGACCACCAAGAACACATCAAAGCAGCTGGCTGTGAGATGAGCAGAGTTGGGATTTGGGCTACCATGAAAGGCAGTAAGGTGCCTCCCTCTCAGATATGTGGCCTTTGAACAGTAGCTTTAATCTCCACTTGGTCTTCAAAGGAAATTCCACTACCACTCACTACTGACCCATCAAACCTATAGGCCTATGGTAACAAAATGGCACTGCTAGCATTCTCTTTTATCAATCCCATGCTATCCTCCTGGTGACATACCTCTCAGCACAGCCAGGAAGCTTTGCTCAAACCTACTGACCCAGCAAAACTAAACACTGAGTGTCTGCAGAAGAGACAAGAGATCAGAGAGAAAGAAAATATCTCTCAGGTAGTTCTGGTAATCTGGGCTGCTTTTTCCACAAAGTCTTAACCAAAAGAAGCCCTGTGCATTTCTTCATCTGAGTCATGCAATCTGCTGGTCAATCCAGTGGGCATGTGTGCTCCCAGGGGATTAGGAGCCAAGCAAAAATTCAAAGTGGCTCCTGTTAATGCTACATGACTGTATTTGTAAAGGCAAGACACATACCTGGCAGGCTGCTGATAACCAACAGTGTGGAAATTATATCACATGAGGCTCTAGCAGACTAAGCCAAGCAAAAGTGCCTTGGGCTATGGCACCACCCCTTGCTATGAAGCCAGAGAATATAGTGCTAGCTAAGCACCATGGCAACCAAATAAATACAAGTCTCTGGCACGATTGCTCTCCACTTCAGGCTCTGCAGAAAGCAACAGACCCTGCACGGCCATTCATGTCTCCCAGCTTCAGGAACTCCTCTCAGCAATACTGAAATGTTCTCTGGAGGAGCTACATACCTCAGGGGACTATATGAGGAGCCCAGGTTACTCAGCCACCTAACTGAGTGAGCAGTACTTAGGTGCAAGGACTCCTTAATGGAGACATTTTTCCTCTCTATGCTTAAATTGATAATTCTGGGATGAGCTTTCATGGGGGTTCTGGTGCTGGCTAGGGTAATAAAAACAAAGCAGCTTTGAAAACCAGAAAAAATGAGCGCTACAACCCCTCAATTTGCTGGGATGTGATGAGAGGACACCCAGCTCCCTACAACAGCCCCTCCTGCTGTTGACTGGCTCTTCAATCTGTGGCCACTGGGTTTACTCCTACAGCAGCTGCTGTGAGGCCAAATTTGTGGAGCCAAGTGCAAGATTCCGGGCAGGTGCTTGGCAAACAGCGTATCTTCATTTTTTATTTTTTGCTAAGCCTCCTGACCTTCACTGTCACAGCTACTGGGCCCCTGCATGCTGCCTGCCTCTTTTCTCCACAACTGGACAGCCCTGGGTGCTGAGTCCAGCTGGCAGCTGTGACAAAACTGCAGCAAAATCTCCCACAGCGACTTTGCTTCCGCTGACCAGAGGGAACTGGAGTGAGAGTGGATCACACGGGATGGTGGGAAGGAGGGGTCTGTTTTTACAGCACTCCTGGGAAGTTGTCTTTGCCAGGCAGCCAACTTTGAAAGCTGGAAGGACAATGAGAAAACTCTGAGTCACGTTAGCCTGCTTGGACAGGAGAAAACAATGGCAAAAGTAAACATCTCTCAACAGATAGCTAGTCCCGCCCGCAGGGCCTTCGGCAGCAAGCCCGAGTCTCATCCCAAAGCACAGCCCTCTGGCTGAGGACGTGCTGTTGCCAAAGCCATGGTGTGCCACTGCAAACACACACATCTGACTGACTTGACTGCCTCCCTGCACAGTGCCAGTGCCAGGCTGCCAATCCTTACACACAGCTGGTGGTGCTGCTGGTAGGCACTTTCTCACCGCACCAACACGGCTGCTGCTTTGCCTCTGCACCCTGCAAGGGTTGTGGGTGCAGTCCAACTCTGTCACAGGCATTTATGGGCCACAGTCAGACTTTGCCACTGGGCATTAGCCCTAGCACTGCCCACAGGGCCCAGAAACTGTAGCTTTCTACCTATCTCCTGATCTAGCAGGCTCTGGCATTTCCTTTCCTGATCCTCTGCCCCTTGCAAGCCCCAGCATCCAGAAATGGAACCCTCACTTAGCATCCAGATCCCATGTGCTTCAGAGGACATGCTCTGACCATACCTGCTGTACAGCTTATTCTTCTAGCAACAGCACCTCCAGACAAAGGTGAATTTGAAGCTGCAAGGCTTACAGGAAAACAGCTGTCCATTTATCTTTTTTTTTAATCCCCTCATTTTGCACAGAGAATGGCAAGACAGAGCTTTCAGGAAAATGCAGGTAAATTCACAGCACGCAGGACAGAACCAATCTCTGGACTGTGCTCTCATGGCAAGGCACATATGGAGCAGGGATTGCTGATATAAATCCAACAGCTGTCACAAACTGCTGCAAATTCACATTTAGTTTCCTTCCATGTGGAGATGCAGGCCACTGCCTCTGTCCCCGCACCACGCAGAAAGAGATCACAGCCAGCTCTGGTTGCAGGGACCATTCAGATCATCCACTTCTCATATAATACAGGATGTAGAAAGAAACTTGTCCTGCTCAGCTTCCTGAGAGTTTAGAAAATATTCCTTAAGCAAGTCAGACAGTTCTGGGAACTATAGACCGTGGTGTTTCTTGGTTATTCTGGACTGCTGCTTCCCATTCCTCTCCTCCAACCATTTCAGACCATAACAGCTGCACAGGTTTATTGCTGAGCATCCCCTTGAAGATGAATCCAACTCATGCAGCATAACCAGTGCACAGGGGGACACAGAGCCCACTGCAAGAGTCAGTGCAATCACCTGCATCTTTTCTGTTAGGCTAAGCTATGCCCACCAGACCTTCCCACAGATGCTTCCCCAGCATCAGTGCCCTACAGCCTTCAGAACACTTCTGATGGCACACAACCAAGACAAAAAACAGCAGCTAAACATCACATGAGTGACTCAGATTCCTCTCCTGTAAAAGACCTACTCCACAGGGTGCTCACAGACTGCACTTGGCACTGGTCTCTGCAGAGGAACTCCTGGGTGACAGATCCCACACAAAAGTGAAACACTCTTGCTCAGACAGTAAGGCACAGGCCAAGGGATGGCAAGCTCAGGTTTGCCAAGGTTAAAGAAAGCTGTCAAATGGGAACAAAAAGGATTTACACACTTTCCTCACCATTGTCCTGTTCTAATGGCAAAAACTGCTTTAGTTCAGCTTCAGGACTGGGCTGTGAATTGTCCTCACTGGGTGGGCTCTGCTCCTACAGTACAGAAATTCCCTCTGGGATTAAAAAAATGATAAGACAGCACTGCCCACAGCCAACAAGAAGGAGGAAAGTAAACAAAGAAAAGCCCTTTGCTTCTAATGCCTCTCACACTACCCTGGTACACTCTTGGCAGTGCTGGAGGGTTCAGCCCTCCACACTGAGAGACTGGTGGCAAAAATGTAAGTCAAAGCTCCCAGCCTCCTCCTGGTGAAGCACCACTAAGATCTCTGTCAGCACCTGGGCTGCCAGTTCCACCCACTCCTGCATTTAGATCAGTCCTATACATCATGAGTCATTCCTTAGAAATCCTTCAAATGCTCTACTGCCCTTTGGCCACTAAAGGGCAGCAGGACACATTTGGTCCCCACTTTGTGACCACTGCCCCAAAACCTCCCAGTTTCACCAGGAAGGGTGTCACAGGAAACAACATTCTCATGTGTGTTGCCCTCAGTGACCTGGAGGCTTCACCCTAGCAGGGAGCAGATAATAACACTGCAAAGCAAGGCACAAAGCTCAACACTAGCACTGCAACCAGGAAAGCTCTCAGCTCTCCTCCACCTCAATGGCCAGCCTGGTCTGCCTGGGACCTGTCAGGCACAACAGTGGGAGGAAAAGAGAGAAAGGGCTGGAACCGTTGGGAGCAATATCTGTCTCCAAGCCCTCGGTGGACCTTACTTACCACGCTGTTGGCTGGTTTGCTGGCATGTGCCTCCATCTGCTGCCAGTACTTCTTAGACTCCTGCACGATATCTTCATGGGTCATTCCTGGGAACAAAAATGAGACAGAACTGAGCTACACTCCTTTGGCCAAGAGAAGAAAAGGAGGTGTTGCAGGACTTTTTATTTTGGGCTTAGTAATCCCTGAGTAGCTGTCAGCTCCCAACAATATCCCCGGTAATGTCAGGACTGAGTTGTGGCAGAATCCACCACAGAATATGTCTAATCCCTTGCTGAGGAAGTTCCTCTCTACACAAGCCAAACAAAAGAAGAATTCGGTCTCCTGGACTTGTTCAGACTTGGCTTTCTACTCAGGCAGTCTGCAAAGGACCCAGGTGCTGCTTCTAAAGCAAATAATTCTTCACAAGGCTCAAGAGGTTGACCAAGGCTGTCCCCGACCCCCATATCAGCAGATTCTACCAAGGTCCTAAAGGCAATGCTTTGTTACTATTGATCTACTGTACATGAAGTTTTTGCTTCTAGCTTGGAAGAGACCCACTGAGACATCTAGCATTTCCAAGACCCCAGAAGTCTCACCTATTACCTGCTGGGATTAATTAGCCTGTTACACCTTCAAGTTGAGAGGGCTCCCCATAGGCAAAGAGGAATGTTGAAATTCAACACAAATAGACACCAAGCACAACCAAGGCAGCAAGGAAAGACCAGCAGTGCAAAACTAACCAAGGAACAGCTGCTAGTAAATAACCAGCAAGGAAAGATCTGCAAGGTCTCAGATATCAGAAATACAACATCAGACAACAAGAAAAAGGATTGGTCAGACCTTATCTAAGGAATTAGCTCCTGACCAGCTCAAGTGGTGAGGGAACAGCCTCTGTTAGCACCAGCCAGCTAGATGGGCATTCAAGTTATTAAGTGCTCTAAAGACCCAAAACAGCTGCCAAAAGAAACTGATGCAAATATCTTGCACAGGCAGCTGATTGCAAGGGGGGTGCTGAGGATGGCCTTGATGCAGCATCCCCAGGACACAGACATTGCAAATTTGATTGCTTTGCTGATGCCTATAGCTTTTATTACTGAAGTGAGCTGTTCCCCAGGAGTATTACATAAACACAATCACTGATCTGGGAGACAGCACATTCCAGAACTTAAGGGCCACCAAACAAAGTTTTCATCTCAGCTTAGGCTGTGTGTAGCTTGGGTAAGTCACAGCATTCCTGACCTCAGTTTTTCTGTCTGTGATTTTGGCTGTTCATGTCCCCATCAGGCACCATACTGCCATTTGCACAGGACTTGAACAGGATGAAAAGCACTCAGAAGACTCATTTTTCAAGAACATTTGCTCAGGTCTTTAAAATGGCAGCTACTGCATAACTGGTATTGCTCACAGATCAGAGCTGTTGGTGAATATTCTACCTCTTAACCATTAATCCCAGAAGAAATGACATAGAGTTAGAAAAATTGCAACTCTCTCTTCCATGCCCAAGTATTCCAGGCTAAGACACAATGATGATTTGTATTTTGGAGACAAAAACTCTAAAGCTGGGGAAACAACAACAAAAAGTTAACATGCTGCACTGGACCTGGCAGGAACAGGGCTGAAGCAGCTCCTACCTTCTCCTTTCTGCACACCTGTGATCCTTGGGGTGCAGAACCAAAGGGAGAAGCATATACAGGTCTTGTCAGAAGACTGAATTTCAAACGTAGTTCTTGTGACTGCCTTTTTCCAGTTCTAGAATTCTCAACTCTTTCAACAGTCTAGAAATGTGGTGGTTGGGAAAGAAAAACCCTCACAAATGTGAAAGGATGGTTTCCAATCTACCAGCTTTTCAAAGCATGACCCATCACAAAGAAAAAGGCCCATGTGTTGATTACTTATAATATTTCTGCATCTTTTGCAATATCATTAGTGAAGACAAAGAGTCTGTTATTACCACTGGTGGAAGAAGATAGCAAGAGATGCCTGTGAAAAGCCACAGTGAACAAGAAAACAGTCCCGCCTGTCCAATTTTCAGATCTTGGGAACCTTTACTCCACTAATACAATCCTTTATCCCCATGAACATAGCCAAAAGCTCTGTAAATGCTCAAATGGCTGTAAAGTGTTTCAAATGTAAGCTGCCCTCTTCCTATTCTTGCCAAGCAAATAGTGTCCAAATGAAACTTCCTGCTCCAAAGCAGGAATCATTCCCAGAGAATGGCAACAACTACCTTTAATCTCGGTTTCCATAATGAAGGCTACATTTGAGAGAGGCAAACTAACAAGGAAAGCAGGCTCATATATACAGCCCTGCAGAAAAAAAGCCCACAAGATAATGTCTCCCCTATCATTGGAAAAGGTGGATCATTAAGCACAAGGCTTAATGATCAACTCTGCAGCTTAACTCATGGCTTGTTTCATCTCCTCAACTTTCCCTTTGAAATAATTTCTTCAAATAAAGAAGGAAAGAAGAAAAAAAAAAATCAGTTTATTTCTTCTGCAGGATGAAGAGGAAGGAACACAGAGGGAAGGAAGAAAGGTTTTCAAGTAACAAAACCTGACCAAAACAACTAAAATAAACCAACCTTGGGATGGGGATAAAAGCAAGGTACTTGAATATTAGAGTGCCCAGAGTACAATGAGCAGTATCACAAGCATGTAGGGCAGCAATGGTGGCCCATGATTCACAGGCAATGTGCTGTCTTAGAAACTCCAGAGCTGTAATTTTTTAATCTCCTGAGGCCACAAGAAAATGAGGGCAAACAGAAAGATTAAAGATGGCATTTGCCACAGTGTGCTATTTGTTCATCACTGTCCCTCATGAGCTGAAGCCAAGGCCAAGGACTGCACTGAACATCAGTTATGACATCAAAGAATGACGAGAAACATCCATAATGTGTTTCAGTTCTGAAGTACTCCCATTACCAGGCTGGGTGTTGCACTAAATGAGACCCTGTGGTGAAAAAACATGTAGGTAGCACTGTGTGTGGACTAATACCTACACAGCCAACAGGACAGCAGTCAGAGAAAACCTCCAATGTATCAGACAGAGAAAAAGAGACAGGACTCAAAGTGGCAGTGTCGCTATGTGATTTCCCTGAGTATAATCTCTGTAAAACCCTCTCCTGAGGCATGTCATCAAAAGCTTTTTAGGAAACACCAAGTATCTTGCAATTTCCTGCTGTTGGTGAATTTGTTTTGAGAAACTGGAGATTCACAGCCTTCTTTATATAACCAACTGCTTTGTCACTTGCGCTGCCATTCTCACTGCAAGACATGTTCGCTCAGGGGTCCAGCTGCTATTTGCACAAGATCTAAGCACCAAACAGCTCTTGGGATTCAGCTCTATCTACCTAATTATAATTTTAATTTATTCAGCTGGTCCCAAGGGAAAGGCTTTCTGGTCTGCAAATTATATTAGCCCTGTTCCTGTAAATGGACAAGGGCCAAATCACCTCACAGTCATCTCTTTTGTGTCCCTGAGGGCAGAGTAAGCAATATGCAGGAACGAGTGACACTTTCTCAGCAGTCCCAAATCACCTTCTTTCCCTCTCAACTCGCCCTGGGTACACACTGGAAGAAACTCAGGTGAACACAACACCAGCCAAGTCACACTCACCTGAATATTGCTGCAGCAGCCAGACCTTGAGCTCAATGAAACTGTGAGCAAAGTGGCAGCTGTCCTCACGCAGGCAGCCGTAACGCACCTCATGTCGGCACACGTCGAACTGGAAGTGCTCCTGGAACTGACGGATCTTGGAATATTTCAGGGAGGTGGAACGCACAATGTGGACCAGACACCTGCAGAAAAATACAAAGCACCAGGGGATCACACCCTCGCCACCTCCTACTTACATATGACATCCAGACATTTGACTGGGCAGGCAAAGGACACAAGAAAATTGACACCAGGAGAGACAGATTCCCTCTGGGAAAAGCAAACCCCTGCCCTCCCACCTGATCAAGCCTGGGTAGTTATTTTCACCCTGAGCACATGGGTGATGCTCTGCCTAAGTTCAGAGATCAGACAAGTTTCAAAATACACAGCAAAGATACCAACTCCTCTGGTTCAGCATCTCCCCATGTCTCAGGTTACCAAGAATCTGAAGGAACTGTATGACTGTGTACTTGACATGTTTGTTATACTTGTTTTCCTAAACATTCATTACCAGACAGAGGCAGGATCCTGAGCTAGAGGATCTTTGTTTTGACGTTTTTGTAAAGGCCAAACTGAAAGGCCTTATTAATTAAGTCAATGGAAAACTTAACAGAGTGATGCCAAAGGGCTTTGCTGATGCCTGAAATCCCTCAGCACCAGAAGCAAACATGCAGGGTGAAATGCTATTTATCATCATTTGAGCTGTCCTATGATTGGAACCCATAGAGAGGAAAGAAAGAAAGAGACCAGAGCCCTGGAGTTAAACTGGCTGGACTTGTGAGACATGGTTCCCATCAGGAGAAAAAATTGTTCACTCACTTGTTGTCATGGAAAATGTGTTTTGCAGAAAGGTTGGAGCAGACAGATGGTGTGTCCTTGGTCCCTTTGCTGATAATCCGGGGTTTGCTGTCAAAGCAAATCTGAGAAGAGAAGAATTAGCATACTGGGAAAATCTTAGAGAGCAATGAACCAGAGCAACTTCACTTAGAGGAGAAAGAAGAACCAGAGCCAGCCTATTCTAATGTTCAAAGTTAGAAAGAAGTGTGGTGAAAACTTTGTGGTAGGGCTTTAAAATAAAGCAAGTCAATCTCTGGAAAAGCTTCCGGACAACACTTTTTGGCTTATTCTCCACAGTATTTTCCATTGTGGTTGGAAAAATTTTGGTCAGAGCCGCATATTCTTCTTTCCCTGTTAGCCAATAGAACAAGAACAAGGGAGAAAAAAGAACAGCCACTTCACAGCAAAGAACACGTCCCTTTACATGCACTGCCAACATGGGAAACTCTGTGCTGCAGAGCATTAAAGTGGTATGAGGCAATTCTCAACTGACCAATCAGTAGCTCTGCACAGACATCAAGTGGAAATTTGTTGCATTATGGAATTCCAATTTCTGAAGTAACTGGGGCTAAATTACAATTCAAAGCAATATGTCAAGATTGGGGAAGAGACAGGTGATCCCATGAAGCTGTGAGCACCTGGTTCAGCTGCAGGGCTAAGGAGAGAAAATACTCCTTTCTCTTGCACTCCTCTGTACAATGCTCACTGTCCTTCTGGGAGCAGGGCACTGGCTGGGACACACAGAGTTACAGGTGGCTTGCTCCTGCACCTTTAAGATTTCCTTCTTGAAACATGTCCAACTTTCCTGGACTCTTTTTCCCTTCAGGACTGCCTCCCAAGGTACTCTGCCAACCAGGCTCCTAAAGAGGCTAAAGTCTGCCTTTCAGAAGGTGAAGTGGCAAGGCGCCAGTCTGCTGACCCCTCTCCTTATTGCTCCAAGAACTGAAACCTCTACCACTGCATGACCGCTGTGCCCAAGGTGGCTTCCACTGTATCACCCACCAGTCCTTCTCTGTTCACAAACACCAGACCCAGTGGATGCCTTCCCTAGCTGTCACCCTCACCAGCTGTGTCAGGAGTTCTCTTCCACACACTCTAGGAACCTCCTGGACTGTTTTTCTCTGCTGCGCTGTACTTACAGCAGACACCTGGTAAGTTGAAGTTCTCCACAAGAAAAAGGGCCAACAATTATGAGACTTAGCCCATCTCCCTATAGAATATTTTGTCTGCCTCTTCACCCTGGTTGGGTGTAACAGACTCCCACCTTATTGGCCTTCCCAGAGTTTCCATTGCAAGCACTCCAGTATGAGTCATCTCACTGTATTTTTGTGGTGGTAACTATCAACATATCAATGGTCCAGATACATACTGAAGAGATGATGGATGCCTGCCCCCTCCCACCAGTTCTGTACCTCACAGAGGAAGGTGAAGATGCCCTGATGTTCCTTGAGGAGCTTGGCAATTGTGAGGCTGCTCTGCTTGATCCCACCTAGCGGGTCAAAGAGGAGGTCACGGTTGAGGGTCCCCTTCCTCTCCTCCGTCCACACGTCGATCTCTTCCTGGTGGTACGCGAAGGTGCAGTTATCCCCGTACTTACAGTCCTGCTTGTTAAGCATATCTACAAAGCAACAAACAGCACACACCACCACACAGGCAGGGCGGTCCAGTCAGAAACTAAACTCTCTCTCATCTTCTCCCACTGCCCACCTCACATGGAACTGAAAGCAAGAAAACAGAGAGCTGAAAGAAAAAGGAAAAGACATCTCCTCCCAAGTTCCCCTATATCAAGACATTCAGGAGTTAATGCAAACTACTGAATGGTGACAATCTCAAGTAATGCTGCTATTGGGGAAACCATCTCAAAACAAGAGGCCTCTTTAATTCAGTGCCTGGCCAGGGATAAATCATGACTTAACTAACACCTTTTTGAAGTACAGGTTAAGTTCTCCCATAGGCCGAGCAGTAAGGGGCCATTTTAGCTTAGTTCTTGCAATCTCCCCACCTCATTGGGTACTTTGTAATGACACTGCCTTGGGATACCAGTCTGGTCACACTGCCTGCATGTACTGTGGGATGGGCTGGAGCAAAGGAGCAGGCAGAGAATACTTCCCTAGGCAGAACCACAGCCCTGCTACTGATGGAATAGGACACCGTAGAGCCAGCAGGCAATATCAAACAGAATTTCCCTCCCAGTCTCCCCTGGTACAGCCCCTTCCCAGCAACCAACTGCCACGGATCACCTTTGCACAGATAATAGGATCCTACAAAGTTGGTTTTGGTTGGGCGAGGACGGATTCTCTTCCAGGTCTTGTCTTCTGAGCTCTTCAGCCTGCCCAGCAGGATGTCCCGCTTGCACTTGTGCTCCAAGCCTTCCCGATAGGTGTAATCACCAGCCTTGGGCCCTGCCAGAGAGAACAACCCCATCAGCCTGCGGAAAGCCAATTCCTAGTCTGTGCTAGTGCTCTGGTGGCAGAGTAAATGCATCACCTGTTTTGGGGTAGCAGATATGACAGGCCTGTTTGAAAACGTGAGTAGATGCCAGGGGGTTCTTCACCAGCAGAGCCGTGTTGGGCATTACTGGTTCTGGCTGGGACAGCAGGTGTTCAGTGGCCTTGGGCACAGCTGGGTGACTCACTCCACCAAGGCTGACCTGAGTGAAAACACACACACCTCTCTGTTCAGCTCTGCAACCACATGGGCAAGAGACCTCTCCACCCCCCTGCCCCACTCCAGTTTCTCATTTTCTCTCTCATCAAAATGTTCACACCTGAAATGACATTTCCAGAAGAGATGACCGCAACTTTTTCAAAGAGAATGAACACTGTGGTGTGTTCACTTCAAAGACAGGCCTCTTTCCTACTGGTAAGAGACCTCAGTTTTCTATCATGAGCCACAGAACAAAATGCCTTCCTCACTCCTTCCCATTCCTTCCATCACAATCTACTCTGCAATGAAAGACTTTTAAATCAACTTTATCCCAAGCTAAGAAAAAATGCAAACTGCTTATCAGTCAATCTTCAGGATATTCACATTGATGCTAACAGGGCCAGCAGGGGACAGGAACTCAAGAATAACTTTTGTTCCAAGCTTACTCATCCTGCCCTTTTTCTCCAAGACTGGAGACATACGACAGGAGCAGAACATCTGGAGAAGCCTCCTGATAGGGGCAGAGAGCAACAAATAACTTCAGTAGCCTGAAGTCAAAGTTGGCTTACTCTGCCCTGTCCTTGAACATTATGTGGCTGCCAGATACAGTGGGACCTCAGCTTCCACGATCCCCTGCTGACCTTACAGCCTTGGTCACGCCATGTTTACCTTGGCAATATGGAGTTACGGATAAAAACAAAGATGGAACAAATGTCTTCCTACTGACTCAGTGGGAATCTTTACCTGCCTTCCCACAACATGGGAGGCAACACTCACGAGGGCAGGGTAAGAGGAGGGGCCCAAATTACCTACATCACCCAAGTGACCACTATCACCACCACTACTACCTTGGCTCCAGAGCACCCTGGGACGTCGGCACGGGGCAGTAGCTCACTCACCACTGGGGCTGGTTTTTGGCTGCCGGGTGGGTGTCGCAGTTCCTGAGAGCTAGTTTCTTCTGGGCAAAAGAAGGGGAAAAGAGCCCACAAAACAAAACCAATCATTTCACTCTCAGAGGCAGTTCTACTCACAAAAGGACAAACAACAGCTTATTATATTAATTTGCTTTATTTATTTAATGTTTTAATACTTTCTTCCCAAAGCATCTGTCTAGACTCAGAAAAACTCCAGGAAATGCCTTCTTGTCCCAGAAATCCTACTGGACCCGATTCTATGCTGCTGAGAACTGGCATTACTAAGATGGCAACCCAAAGCTGAGGTGAATGTGAGTGTTCAACTGCTGGCCAATGTGGCCAATTTCTGCTGTTCTCAAAATACTTTTACTGCCAATATACTGCAATACCAGGAACAAACTAACCAAGAAGAAGCCCACTTCCCTCCTGAACAGGAGGTGACTTAGTCTTTGCCCACCATCCTCCACAGCTTTTCTCCTTATGACATGGGAGTTCAGAGCCCCATTTGAGAGTACACTCATTGCCCTGAATCCAAAGATGGGAAAGACCTACCTTGGCCTCTACCATTCTGACCAGAACAACAAGGTGCTGTATCATCTAAAGCAGTCATTACCATTCTGCACACTTTGTGCAAAATGTCAGAGTCATTGAGGAGGAAGGTGGAGGAATCATGCTATAGTCCAGCAAATTGTGCCAAGGGAGGTGCTCTGGACACCAAGCCAAGTTTAAATCTCATCACTCATCATTATACACCTTTGCTCCTTTCTCCTCTTTAGATTTCACTCCATGCAGGTACTGGTTATCTGGGATTACATACCAACAGATTTTTCTCATTACTTTTGAGCTAAGCACTATCAGTTACTCTGTCCAAGACAATTCACTGCTCTCTTCTACATTTATATTCCTGTTCTGCCACACCAGCAGAGAAAGCTACAAGACATATGTCCTCAGCAAATAGGAAGGAAATAATTTTGGCATGCATTCACAGCTAAGGCAACACAAAACCACATCACCCTGCACCTACCAATGGCAAAGGAATCCAAGGTATCCAGCGACCCCCTGCTTGTCCCAAAGGAATCCAGGGCATCAAGCCGTGTATCTGTGTATGGAAGCAGATCCAGGGAATCCAGCGAATCTAAAGTGGAGCCGCCACTTCCTCCTGGTGGGGCCTCAAAGGCATCCAGAACAGAGGAGGAGGAGAGCTGCTTGGTGGGATCCATCACCAGGCCAAAGGAGGCAGGTGGCAGAGGGGTAGAGACAGGGATGCTGGCTGTCACAACTGGAGGCAGCAGTGGAGTTCCCCCCGGAAACACAGGAATCAACTGGGGCATCTCTGTTGGCAGGTTGGTAGGAATGGTGCCCTGGACCAAAGACTTCAGGGGAGCAGGAAGGAGGATAAATAGCAAATTAGTATTGAGGAGCAAAGACTGAAAAGAGATGTCTTGGTTTTGCCCAGCACAGAGTTAATTTTCTTCTTAGTAGCTGGTACAGCACTGTGTTTTGGATTTAGCATGAGAATAATGTTGATAGCACACTAATGTTTTGGTTATTGCTAAGTCATGCTTACTCTAAGTCAAGGACTTTTCAGTTTCCCATGCTCTGCCAAGCGAGCAGGTGCACAAGAAGATGGGGGAGAGCACAGCCAGGACAGCTGATCTGAACAAACTAAGGGGATATTCCATACCACAGAACATCATGCCCAGGATATAAACTGAGGGAAGTTGGTCAGGGTCACTGACTGCTGCTTAAGGAAGGCTGGGCATTGGTCAGCAAGTGGTGAGCAATTGTACTGTGCACCACTTGTTTCTCTTGGGTTTTAATCCTCCATCTCTCTCCTTCTCTATTATTATTGTTGTTGTTAATATTGTATGTTATTTTGTTTCAATTATTTAACTGTTCTTATCTTAAGCCACAAGTTTGGGTTTTTTCAATTATCCTCCTCATTGGGGAAGGGGAAGGAAGAAAGTGAGTGAGCAGCTGTCTGGTACTTAGTTGCTGTCTGGGGTCATACCATGACAACAGAGAGCAACAGGCTCCCAGTGAAGGGTGTGTTGTACTAGCTGGAGCAAAAGGATACCTGGCAGCTCAATCCACCTGCAGACTTCCCACAGACCTCCCAATCTTTCCATACTGCAAACAGTGTGGACCAGGATCCCTGAGGAGATGTTGGGATACCTGAGTTCATCAGTCAGCAAGGCAGTGCCCTGCACTGGGCACTTGAACCAGCTCAGGTTGAGAAACAAGGCAGCTGAGTACACACAGTGCAAAGGTCAGGGTAACGATCACAACCCATTGACACCTCTCATCAGGGCTTTTCCAACATGAAAATCACTATACTCCTTCCAGACCCAAGGTGGCTCACATAAGCAACACTGGCAACTAAAATCTAACATAAGTATGAATACAGATTGTTTATGCAGCTCCCAGACCTGTTCAACAAGCTTAGGCTGACTGCAATCTGCACAAAATACAAGGAGATTAGAGCATGCCCACTGTATAAAATACAACCATCATTCCTGCTTCACCACACTCCTTTACTACTCTCACACTTGCTTCAACTTCACGGACATGAGAGGCCAGGTGGAAGGAGATGTCAGGGGAGGGCTACCCTGGGTATATTTTGAGAGACAGCTCCCTGAACCTGCACACAGCAAAGCACGCTTGGAGCACTCTACATACTCACAGTAGCAGAAATAAAGGAAAGAATGAATGAGTTTTCCCAGAGGAAGAGGTAGGAGAAAAGAATTACAGAAAGAGAATGAGAGGCAGCATGCACATCTCATGCTCCAAGGACTTCCAAGGACCTATTTGGAACAAAGAAGCAGCAGACCCATGCAGCACCCGCTCTTACTAGAGGGTATGGTGACCCTTCAGCAAGGGAATCCAGGAGGGAGTCTAGTTCTTCCCCAATGATATCCCCATCTGTGAAATCCTCTGTGTTCTCAGGCACTGGCAAGGGTACACAGTCTGGAGATGGGAGCAAGCTGGCAGCAGGAAGCGAGGTGGGCAAGCCCTTTGCATCTGAGTCAGAAGGCAAAGGGGCCAGCCCCTCATTCACAGGGATGGAGGTGGCCACAGGAGCTGGGAGGCACTGCAGGTCCATAGGGCAGTCTGTGATGAGAGAGAAACAGAGCCAGTCACCAGGAGAGCCTCTTGCAGGAGACAAACAGAGCACAACATGGCAAAACCAATATTGTACAACTCCATCAAATCACAAAAACCAAGTATGCCAATTTTCTGAGAGGAGAGGCTCTACTTGCCCTTTCATTTTTGTTCCCACTTTCCAAAGGCTCACCAACAGCTAAAATACATTCTAAGGGCCGGTGCGCAGTCTGACTGTCAGGATTTGGCAAGCACATACAGCAACCAGGAACAACACAAAACCTGTGGCTGAGCAGTTACCAAATTCATTATGGCCAGGACTAAAGGCCAGAGGCAAGTAATACAATTTCTCTATGACCCACCACCTGGTGTTTACTTTAATGTTCCTCACTAATGCATTTGGCAGAGATCACTGCCTTCTCTACTCCTTGGAGCTTTGATATCCCAGCTGAAAGCTTGCTTACTTGCACACCCTCTCTAAAAACCCAGGCATCCTAAATGGAAGAAGACAAAACACACAAGGCCCTTTTGAGAGGAGAGTCATAGCTTGAGTGGTTGGATCAGGTTGTGCTAACAATGTGTCCCAAAAATCCCCATCAGACTCACTCAGCTGTCTTTACCCAAGTAAATTCCCTGCTCTTGAGTCCTTCCTGATGTCCAAAAGTGGGAGGTTGCTACTCATTTCCCCCCTCAATATCTGATCAGCAAACATGCCCTTGGGAACTCATGTGAGGCGGGGTTGAGGCAGGAAAGAGGCAGAGGCAGTTTCCCTAAGGTTTCTTCCTCTCTCCAGTACATTACTGAAGTAATAAGATGTTTCCATCATGCAATATAAACCTCTGTTAAGTGAAGTTAAGGTTGCAAGCACATTTTCTTCACAGAAGAGCATTTTATTCTCAAAAAAATTAAAGGTTAAAAAAAAGTTCAAATGTTAGAAATTTGGAAAATGCAGCATTACATTTGCACTTCTCAAACCAAGCACCCAAACTACCTTAATTCTGCCCCTGTGCAGATGTCCTGGAATAAAAGAAAAGAAATAAGACAAAGATGCTGCTTTCTTCATCGACATCCCATTGGCTGCACTGTAACTGCAACAGAGTAAGGCTATAAAAGCAAGGCAAAGTTTGGAAGGAGAGACAATAGCTTTTATTAGAAAGACTGATAAAATTGGGAAAGAAACTAGACAAGCTTCAGAGACACAAAACTTGATGCAGCAAGAAATGCTGCATCCTGTCTGTACCAGGTCTGTTCACTCAGCCCCCAAGAGAATTTGGCCATTCCTTTGCATCAGGGACCAGGAGAGTGAGCCCTGTTACTGGCTGCAAACTGAGAGCTTCTTCTCAGAGAGCTCAGCAAATCAGCAATTCCAGCAAACCCCCAAGTCCTGAACAAAACAACAGCAGAGATGACAAACACAGGCATGCCTCCTTATCTCTCACCCCACCCAGAGCACAGCACTAACCCCTGCAACCTTTCCTCCAGTATTTTTTGTGAATGGCCCACATGGATGGACTGCAGCAAAGGTCACTGTGCAAGGCACTGGAGGCTGAGCCATGAAAAAAGACAGGGAAGCAGGAGAAGTGGCAAGGAACAGACACAGGTCCCTCTCCACATCCTCAAACATGCCGCTGAAGGCAAACACATGTTGTACCTTATGGGATCCAACACAGGATTTCGGTGTGCAGCTGAATGCATTTCCCACAGGCTGTGCATGTCCTTAGTTTTGCAGCTGCCCCACCAATCGGGCTCTGCTCCAACGCCATGCCCCCTTTGCAGTGACTTATCTCATCCTTTGGTGCAGAACCACCAGCCGCCATGGAGCCAGCTATCCAGCTTTTCTCATGGCTGGAAGCTTGGCCAGATTCCCTGCAGTACAAAGGGATGGCTTGTGCTTTCCAATTTTTCAGATGTTTAAATCTGGAGTACTGTCAAGATCCCTACAGAGGCCAACAAGAAGTTCAGAACATGCCAGGAGGGATGGGGACACGTGCAGCGGGGAGCAAAAGGCTGCACAATGACAGGGCATCCAAAAGGATCCAGCAGTTCAGACCATCTCTGAGGACCAAATGAGGCCCTGCATTTTCCACTCAGACTGGGAAGCAAAGAAAAGAGGCCCTCACACACTCTAAGAGGCCAAACCCAGCAATGGTGAATGCATGACCAAAAGGCAGACAACAACATGAGACCCCCCCCAGCTCAGTGCATGTGAAGGGCAAGGAAAAGAGCAGGGACCAACAGGTTCCACTACTTGCAAGTGGAAGAGGGAAGATGTCCACTCCCCTCTCCCTGACCACCCAAACACTGTTATTCCTTCAGCCACTTCCTCCCACTCTACTCTGTCCAGTCTTTTTCCCCTCTTTCTCCTTTCCCATTCCTGCTTTCCTCAGGACACCAGATCTGCTGACCTCACTAACCACCAGCTGTTATACCCACATCTCCTCTCTCCTTACAGAAGGCTCAGGCATCCTCTGCATTCCCCTAACGTTTGCTCCATCTTAAAGGAATAAAACAGCTTTCTTTGATGAGTAGCTCACAGGCACACCCACACCTGCTGATTTCTGCCCCTGCCATCACACTCAGCCCCACGTATTATTATAAGGTCAACAAGGGGCTTGTCCATACATGCCCATGAACCAAGTCTCTCATACCAAGCTCCCCCAGCTGGTAGCTTCTCTGGCTGTACACCTGCCTGTCTCCAAGGGACAAGCTTTTAAAAGCACTGTTTCTAGCTCTGCTCTCCAAAACAGCAGTGGTTCCCTGGTGCATTAGCTGGCCAATGGCCATACTGAGCCAGATCTGAGCCATCATCTCTCTGCAGGACTGGGCTGAGTTAATCAGATAACTTCAAGCAAATCATGGAGGAAAGGCTTCAAGAGTCTGCACTTTAAAACAAAACAAAACAACAACCACAAAAACCCTTGCTAAAAAAACTCTTCAAATCTGAAACTCTCAGGGTACCCAGCACCCACAGTCGTCCTGGTGGCACACCACGCTCAGGGCAATTGGATAACACAATTCCAGTGCTTTGGCAAAGATTTCCTAGCAGTAAAGGCTCTGTCTGCCTGATCTGCAGTAAAGGTGGCATGCTGCTCTTACACCAAATCCAGATTAGATAAAGAGCTTACTGGATGCAGTCATTCGTTAGTCTGTAGTAGGAGTCCAGTTAATTTTAGCACAGCAAGATAACCTGAAAAACTCTCCTTAATTCACAGAACTGGGTCTCATGATCTCATGTAGCAAGCAGATACTAAACTGGCATTCAACAGAGAACTAACATGCTTTCCAAAGCACCCTAATCATGAAATTAGTTTCTTTCTACAAAAAGAGCAATTGCTACTTGCAGTAGTAAGTCCTCACACTTACCTTCACACACACAGAGCGACCTTACAAAGGAACAAGACTGATGTGCTCAGAGGCAGAAGTTCAGTGCTCCAGCACACAAGGTAGCAAGCCTTTCTACAGGGGCAGAGTTAAGGTCACTTGTTTCCCAGCATGAGAAAAGCAACCCTGCTTATCTTCCTTCTTCTCCTGGGTGCCTAACTCTGAACTCGGCTCTCCCTGGGTTCCTCCCAATTCCTTTGTTTTCAATTCCTCCACCTCAATGTCTTGGAGGACCATATGCACTCAGAGCAAAACAACCTTAACTTCACTTTATCTGGATTGTTTTACCTTGGAGCAGAATTTCAGAAGCTTTGCCAAGAGCAGCTTCAAGAAAGCACAATTGGAAAGAGCTGTGTACTTCAGCAGACCCTTTTAACCCCCAGACACATCTCTCACCGTGCCTGGACAAAATCTGGTTTTTCAAGAAAAACACTCCTGGTTTGCACCACTTTTTCCTTCTCCCAATTACCAAAGTTAGGAGTGTGCAGAAGAGACACAAATGCAGATGATGAACCTCTCGAGCCTGCCAGCCTGGTCACACACCATACTGAAGCCACAAAAGTCTGAGGAGAGCAATATCTTTACCTGTTTCGATGTCATCTATTGAGCCCAATCCATTGGAAGTAGTCTGCAAAGAGGATGTAGGGAAAGGGAGAGGACAAATATTGTAAGAAGTTATTAAACAGACATCCACACTTCACATATGTGACTCTTCACTACTCCTAAATGTATATGACCCTTTCTTTTCCTTTATGGCCTTTTTCTGTGCTGGAACAGTAAAACCAATGGACTTTAGGAGGCCATTGATCCAAGGAAACTATTCATGTTTACCTTCAGCAGCCAACAAATCCTTTTGCTACAAAGGAAAACCATGCCTGCACAATGTCCAACCATGTGAGCAACTCCATACATAGAACAGGGTATTTCATGTGTGGATGAGAACACTGTGTCCCAAGTCCCAGGACACATCAATTGGTCAGCCCATTGCATGGGAGATCTGATTAGCCTGATCTTACACAACGTTCCTTTTCTTAGTTCACATATTTTGCAATCTAACAACCACAAACTTCTACAGCAAATTCAAAACAGGAAAATGTTTCTGCCAAGACAACTGCTGACTTGGAGCTCAAGGCAAGGAATAAATTGAGTCCATATTTTACAGAAACATAAATAGAGGTAAGTACATGTGCCTTCAGATTAAGCTTAAAAAGGCACAAGTAAAGCATTTGTCTTGTAATATTGCATCTACTACAGTGGGGTTTGCACTGTTTTCAATTCTTATAAAAGGAAAAGATTTTGAAATTAAAAACTAGGCACAACTATTAAATAAAGTTGACTGGCCTTGCTAGAAAGATGTGAAGCCAAATCACAGAACAGTGAGAGGTAAACTAGTTCTTTAGTAGTTTGTTGTACAAAATTACAATGTTTATAGTTTTATTGTTTATTTGATTTAAGGAGCATTGTGAAATACCAAACAGCCTGTAAAAATAGCAAGTGCTTGTTTGTTGGGACTTTTTTTTGCCTAGTGGTAGACCAAGGAAACCAATAATTTCTTATATTTTACCTTAGTATTTGTACACTGCCCTGCCCAGCTGGGTCTCCCAGGACAATACAAACAATACACAAACTGTGTATGTACCTTATTCAGTACACCATAGAATTTAATTTTATATGTTTCTTCAGCAGTTGCACTTTCTGACTTTTCTTAGCATCGTTGTTAGACATTCAAAACATTCATTTTTGAAAACAAAAATTTATTTAAAATGCAAGAGATAGCAAACATTCACAATAACTAAGAAAAATAACCATCTTTGGTGATCTAATTACCAACATAAAAAATTATGTCAGGAGAAATGTTTTCAAAGAAATTAATTTCTTGGCAATATCCCTTAAGAGCAGAAAACACTAATTAAAACAGTTCAAACCTAAAAGTCAGTTATAAATTTGCATGTAAATAAAACCTTAAAGTATTCTAGTAGCACAATCCATAAATAGTAACAACCACAGGATGCAAACTCTACCTGGTTTGATGAACTGATTGACGTGCCATTACTGAGTAGTGAGAATGTTTCCAATTCCTGCTGCAAGGAAGAGAGAGGTCTTAGAGCAGAATTCAGCCCACGAATGCTCATAAACTAGGTAAAGCTGGGTTACAATATGGTTTCCTTCCAAGCACTGCCCAAAAATAAAAGCCACCCAAAAGGTTACCCTACCCCACTGTGACAAAAGAGTGCACGTTTATCAATACTGAAAAGGGACATTTAATTGTTCCATACACCTCAGAACATCCGACCCACAACCAGGAGAAAAAAAAAACTTCCTTGAGAAACAGATAGGTTTGCTTTTTATTAAGAAATTATCACTTTGGGAAGGCATTACCACACTGGAGTGAAAGCTGGAACGCTACACAAAAGATCGCAAAGTGTTAACAAAATACCAATCACAGAATTTCAAATAATAAAAAGCATTCTGGAGTGTTTAATTTTTATACTTCTAACATAGAGGTGGTTTAAGCCCATCTCAGCTGAGTAACATGACAGTGGCAAAAAAGGTGGCAAGGCCAACACAGTGAACAGCTACAAAAAGTATTTCCACATAAAATTCCCTTTCTTTGAGACAGAAACACTTCAGAGCGTGGAAAGCTGCTACGAGATCAAGGAGTTTTCTTAGGTTAGGCAAATCACACACGACATTTGTTGGGGAGAGGATTAACATGTTACAGCCAGATTTACCCTAAAAGCTCCCTGCAAACCAGATGCCCACCAATCATGCCACCTCATGCTACAGAGGGGCCCCTCTGCAGATGGAACACACTGTTTGTTTAACAGCCCCATGCTTGGGGCCGAGGATGCAAACACAAACGTCAGACTCCGCTACTCGCTCGTGTTCTCTGCTCCTGAGAACAAAATCTGTGACCAAGGCAGCTTATTGGAGAGCAGCTTTATGGCTAGCAGTGGCCTAACGCCCTCTAGCTCCATCCCAGGGTACATGTGTAAACATCTACAGCACCTCCGTGTAGAGCCAAGTTACAGATCCAGCCACTGGGGTCAATCAGCTTCTGACCAGGTGTGCACCCACTGTTCTCCCACAGCCAAGCCTTTCCCCCACCACAAAGAAGTGTATGCCTAGAAATGGGGCAGAAACCCTTCATGATCCACTGCACTATAAAACCAGCCATGCCTCCACTGCAGCAGAGGATCCCATCCTTCTCATCGCATAACAGGGAGAGGACTATGATGCAAAACCTGCTTTGGGATCAGGCCCTGTGTTCCTCTCCTGCAAACCACACAGTAGGCATCTACTGCGTTGGAAGTTTCTCCTGCAGGACCAGCTGAGTCTCAGAAAACATCCTGGCAGTAGACACAGAGCAGCTATGAGGCTAGAAATGGATCAAGGCAAAGTGAGTCAGAGGGTCAGGACAAGGAGGGTTGCCAGCGGCCTGCTGGAGTTGGCAGGGTTGTGTACACATGTCTGTAACTGCAGAAAAGCAACTACCACTTCTGCTGAAGTAAATTTGTACAAGCAAAGGACAGCCTTTAAGACAAAAGAAGTCATACCTGAGGTCTTTTGTATGCTTTTCGAACCCTCAGTCCCAGCTTCTGGGCAAGCTCCTGCCCCAGTTGTGTGACACTTTCATCCTGGGGACAAAACAATTGATGGGACACTTTCAGTTTTGCCTTTGTGGCACACAGGATGAAATAAAGAGGAATGCAGTTATGCACATTGGGCTGCACCAAGCCTTAACTTCAGACAGCAGCAGGATAGATAATTTCCAGAACAGCCCCAGGAGAGTCCAGACAGACTTCAGCATTCTTGTCATTTAGTGCTGCCAAGGTGCTGCAGTTGCACCAGGAGTTTTGCCCTATACTCATTCAATGCTGCAGAAAATCAGTATCAAGTATCTGCTTCCAACAAAGCACCCGCTCTGCAAAAACAGGGTTCAGGAGTCCTGCAGGCAAGTTGGCTGAAGGAGCTGCCAAGGCTGGCTGCTGATACAGCTTCCACAAGGTCTCCATGCCTGGGAAGGAGGCTGCATGTCTTCCCTCTCTGCCAGCTGCAGAGTTAATCATCAGTTTTGATATGCAGACAGTACCCACTAGCCTGTTCTGCTTGTTACTTTTTAAAGCTGAAACCAAGCCCCAGTTTTACTTGCTAGCTAGAAGGCATTTTGACTGTCTCCAGCTCCAGCTAAACTGCCTCAGCCTAGTCAAGCAGATCTTCAGCTTTCCCCATTGTGTGTCATTTTACCATCCTCCCTGCCCAGTGTCCATGCCCACTCACACACCACCATGGGCTTCCTGCCCAGACTAACAACCTGCCACAGTCTTCTACACTTATATATCACTAACAACTGTTTCCTTCTGTTTTCCTCTCTCTCCCTGCTTGCAAAAATATCAGAGTACTTCAACAGTTTTTCCAGAGGAAAAGAAGTATCTATCTGCCCAACCTGTTGTGATAGCCCGCCTTAATCTTCCAACATTTCCCACCTCATGACCAACCTTGAAGCTTGCCCTCTTCTCTCTACTTGCCATGCTGGTCTTTCTAATCTCCTTCTCCCTGCACGTTGAATCCTTTCCCTTTCAACAGCTGAGAAGCCTCTGGTTCTTCCAGACCACCATATCAGTAACTTTTCCCTTCAATCTGGAGTGACATTTTTTGATTGTGCTCCCCCACACCCTCAACATTAGTCTTGGCACCATCTTCACTGAACTCAGTGAAAACAAAATCTAGCTTGTCCATTTCTTCTTCTAAAACACCCCATGCCATACCAAACACAAGTGTACCACAGAGAAGTATTAACTTCACCATACTGAGAATTGCAAACTTGCAGCACTGACTATCTGCACCCAGAAATAAGGGAACTCTGACAGACAGTGAGCCAAATGAGTGGCACATCCTTTATCAAAAGTTTTAAGACAGATTTTGTTTTGACCACAACAAAGTTCTCAGCAATTACAGCAATGTGAAGATAGAAGTGTGCTCCAGAGGGTAATGGAAACAGGAGTGAAATGACGGATAGCATGACTTGCCTTTGATGCAGAGAAGGCTTATGATTTCTGTTAGGCAGGTAATAAGACAATGGGGTATGTTAATTTACAAGGCTGAATTGTTTAGACTAGGAAACACAGATCACTCAATATGGAGATTTTTAGGCTGAACTTTCCTGTTACAAAGTTTGATAAAATAATTATAATAATGGCAGCTATGTAAACATAACTATATAGTTAAAATAACGATTAAATTAAGTGGCTAAACTGCAATGTAAAATATAGCCACATATAGCTTTACAAGAACACCTACCTTAGATGCTTTTGTTAATCAAAGGGTTTGTTTATAAAACAGTTCCTTGGGACTCCCCAAAAATTATATCTTTAATATTTTTTGGTAACCCTGTACTGCCAAGTCAAAGAAGCTAGAATTTACAAGCTGTACAAAAGGAATAACTAACTGCTAACAAGGCTTTCAAAGATTGCTTCTATAACACTAATAGTAAAGGAATGTTAACTTGTCCTGCTGAGGTGGATGCATTTTTCTTGTAATAACATTACTGTGATGAATCAGAACCAACATCAGCAAAGTGTTCACTTGAATCCATGTAATCACAGTTTGCTTTCCAGATCAATATCTGGCCTAAGAGGATGCTCAAAAGCACTATGAGGAATATTTAGTAACTAGTATATGCAGATAGTCCTCTCCACATGCAAAAATTCACACACCCCTGAACACAAAAATAACTACGCCATGTGATGTCAAGGACACTTTTGCATCTTCCTCAAGAAAATAAAAAGCTTGATTACTTTGCCTTAGCAATCAGGAAGTGAAATGTGAGACACTTGTATCCAACACAGGAAAACCAGCCATGTTTTCCTTTCAGAGCTCCAGTTCTCATTTATCCCATGCTCCTAGTCACTTCCATTAGAGATAATAAAGCAGCCAATTAAAGCCTTCTCATGGCTTTAGTTCACCTTTTGTTAGAGTAGGGGTTTGGTCTTCACAAACAGACCACGAACCTGCTGTCACTAACTGGTGTCCCTGGCTGGCACTATCTGTAATAGGTGACTTGTCCTGAAGAAACATGTGAGGACAAACATCTTTGAGTCAGAGAAACAGATTTTTTGGGCATAAGTATGTTCTTGGGAACAGACAAAACTTCTCTTCCACTATCCTCTGGCCTCACACTAAGCATGTTGAGCAGGAGAGGAAGGTTGTGAGCCACAAAAACCAAGATGAGTTGTGTGTCAAAAACTTACATGTGGGAGGGACAGCAAGCATCGGCTGTTGCACTCATACGCTTCCTTGTGTCTTCCCAGTTCATTTAAGGAACGGGCTTTCCGGAATAGCGCTCGGATGTTCTCCTTGTCGAGACTCAAAGCCTTCTCGCTGTCTTCCAGCGCCTTCTCATACAACCCCTGCATGGAACAGACCACCTGGAGTCAGCTGAGGCACAGCAGGCTAACTTGTCCTTCTCTGTGAATGCAAGTGTTCTATCTCTCAGCAGAAAACAGGAATACAAGCAGCAGGTGGAAGTACATATGTTACCTCATGCACAGACCAGCGTGAAAACACACCTACACTAACAGAACATTTTGTTAAATCTTGCAAAACTCAAAACACTTCAAAGTCAAGGAATGACAGAACTAAGGCTGCCTGAGCAACCATATCTTGTCTCCCCCTCTACCCTGAGCATATTACACTTGAAAGTCTTTAATTATGTGACTGCTTGCTAATTTTCAGGGCACTCAGTGTCCTTACAAACAGGATGGGCCTGCTCTGGGGTTGTGCCATAAAGGAAAGTTGTTACATGCCTTAGTAAAATGGAAGCATGCAGCCTTTCAAAGCCTGGGTATTTCAGAATCCTTTTCCATGTGTATGCTGCAAGTTCCTTCAAGACCCAAAGCCTCCCTACTGTCTTCCAGTGTCTCAATGGAGGAGGCCAGAGCCTCCAGAGCAATAAACAGTATTCCAGAAAAATACTTGCTCAGCACTGGAAGACACTGGATGGGTCTAACTCCTCACCACTGAAGAGCAGAACTGCATTGTCAGTACCTTAGGCCTGGCCCCCCCCCTCACATTCCTCCTCTGGTCTTGCAAGACACACTTGTGAGGAGACTGCAGATTTTTCTGTGTGCTGCTGTCTCCTGCAGTGTTTGAACAGGGAGTGGACAAAACCAGGTGAAATGCCTCGTGGCATCTTTTCCAACTGCACAGCACTGCAACCCTGGCTCCTGGGGATGACTTGGGAAAGCACTCACCATGGCAAAGTAGCAGGCAGCTCGGTTGACATGGAGCTTGCAGAGGAGTTCCTTTGGGATGGTCACCTCATCAGAGGCTGCATAGTCTGCCACATTCAGCCCTTCTACATACTGGACCAGGGAAAGCTTGAAATCCTTCTCTCGGAACAAATCATTGCCCTCTGCAAACAAGTTTCTCACCAACTTCTGCAAAAAGGCCTGGGCAGCAGGGAGAGAACAAATAGACTCAAGTGGATATTCAGAAACAGGAGAGGCTTCCCAATTTCCCATTCATTTCCATATCTTTTAGCAAACTGCTTGCCCACTAAGATATTAGTGCATCCCTACTCTCCTGTAAAACATCAGGTTTTTTGGTAGAGGAAAATAATCCAGTCAAATTCCCATTCTTCTTGAATACTGAAGTGTCTTCTCCTTTCACTGAAAGTTGTCTCATCAGAACATTAAAACTTTAAGTCACAGGCAAATTGTGACAGACCATCCCACATTCCTCACTTTTGGCATGTAAAGTAATGCCTGTGCAACAGAACAAATCTTGCTAACCAGAGGGCTCCCAGCTTCAACAAACAAAATCTCCATTACCTCATAATCTTCTTGGCTTAGGGGTAATGTGGACCTGAAGACAAAGAAGAGAAAATATTCATGAAAGAGGCAAACGCAACAAACAACGCAAACAAGGGCTTTTGTCTGATGAAGAGATCCTTTTTCTGGTCTTGTGCTGGTGATCTCAATAAGTTACTGAACATTTTATCACTGCAAAGGCAGCTGAGGCAAAGAGAACACAGGGAGCACTACGCTCAGTGACAGTCACAGCAGTGTCAAGAGATGATCACATCTAAGAGGGACTTGAGACCAGAGGAGTCTTATTCTCATTTATTTTCTGTGCACACATGATCCTCTGTAATGTGCCTTCTGACAATCACCTGAAAACCCCATCTTTTATAAAGTCCCATGAGAGACTGCCATGAAGAATACAAGTGTATTTTATGTGCATCTGGCTCTAATGAGAGACACCAGAGTGGCACTCCAAGACCTCTTCAAATTCTTTGTGAGACAAACAGAGATAAATGCGATAACTTTTCTCTGTCTTAACTTAGCCACATGCCTTTAGGCCTATCCCACAAAAGGAAGGGAGAAAACAGTGCAGATTCAGGAGCTCAGCTCATTTAACTCCAACTTTCTTGGCCAAGGCTGAACCACAAACACTGGCAGCACTTGTGAGGATAACATCTACCCTACAACAGCACTGAGACTCAAGAGAAAGGTTCGGTTCTTCAAATTGGACCACCCAATTCATCCAGGCTTGGTCCACATATATTTATTGTTTCTCTTCAAGGACAAATCAATAGGCTCCAGAGGAATCCTCAGCACCTTTCATAGATTTTCTCACCTACAGTGCATACATGAAGTTACTAGTTACAGAATAAATGTTTTTTAGATTTCATCTAATCACTCCTTCAAACTAACTACAGGAAATGTCATGGCTTTGTCAGAAATATTCATGCTGCTTACATATTTGTACTCCCTCTTTTGTATCAAAACAAGCCAACATATGGCACTGCTCCTGGTTCAGAGTGCAAGATACACCCCAGATGCATGAACTACACCTCATATTTCTAAATTATTTTTTTTCCCAGAATCTTGTGCATTTTTATAAGTGCTACCAATATAAATCTCACAATTACCTCTCCAAAACTGGGCTATCAGCCCTATTTAGTCTCAGACTGGAATGAAAATATCATGGCCATATTACAGGATACAAATATGTAACATGGAAGATCTAGGGGGTTTCCTACTGTAGAGGCACGGATTTCAGGCATAGTAATTGCAGGCCACAAAGCAGACCTTAAGAAACCCCAAACCAATCTGATTACAATCTTACTACTTCCTTACTCATCATGGAACCTAGACCTGAGTTTGAGGCCTCTGCTAAGTCAAACACTGGAGGAGGAATGCTACTGTATCTTATAAGGAAGTACTAGGATTTGTAACGACTACATAAGCAATCACTTCAAGCTCTACAAGGCCACACGATATTCACAGAAGAGTGATCTGAGACATCCACATTACAGGTTGGCAACTGTAAAAGAACGCAGGTTATATATCTTTCCTATAGGCACCATATGGGGTGCCTAACAAGTAAGGTGCCTTGTTTCCCCACGTACAGAACTGAAACACTGCCTCCCTTCCTAACAAAGGTGGGATAACCTTGTTCAGAGAGCACTTTGAGATCATCATGCTGAAGATGACGTAGAAGGTCCAAGTGCCATTAGCATTATGCTGACTGTAAAGATAATCCTGGAACTGCAGTGGAGGGCAAAACCAAAGGAAATTAAAATTACAGAATTTTAAGTTCAGGGACAAGAAACACCCTGAAAAAAATCACAGTCAAAATCCTCAGGACAGTATCTCTTTCCCATGCAGCAAATCCAAAGCAGTAAATAGGAAAAACTCAGTTCCTGCAATCTTCAACAGAAAGATGACTGCTTCCAAATCCACAGGGAACACTGAGGTTGTCCACTTACTGAATGAACTGAAGTCCTTTCTCTATTTCTTGTTTTCTCTTCTGCCTCTCCATTATGGTTGCTGTGGAGGAAGAAGAAAAAGAAACAACACAAAGTGAGTCATTTTAGGTCTTGTTGGCAATTAAACAGCAAAGTATTTTGTTTGTGCCTGAATTTACTACTAACAAAATGTTCCAGACCAGAAGCCCTGAACAGCAAAGCCCATGATTTATCCACACTGCAGATACAGCATGGCAAGCAGCTCACTACCAAGAATCTGCTTTTTCTCACATGCCACTGATAGGATACAGGGGCAAAGAGGAATTACTTCAATTTGAGCTCTCTGCTTAGGCTGCCAGTAAATAAAGCAATGGGAACCAACTGTTATCATGACTGCCTTCTAGGAAAGGGAAGAAACCCAACACCATCTTTGCCTGCACTGGCAGTCATTTCAGGAATTTGCACCTAGACCCTCCCATGATATGAAATTCTGACCACTATTTATCTGGGACAGATTTAAACTGGTTTACTGCACAGCATATGAAATATACCTTATCTACATAAGGTTTATGGAGATACAGCACAAAGGGAGATGTAAAGGAAGGAGATGAAAATGCTTGCTGTGGTCCACATAAAAGGACAGCACTGAACTCATGCAATGGGGACTTCAGGCTGAAAATCAGCAGACAAGAGCAGCACAGACTGGGGAACACTTCTTTGGAGAGGGAACAGAGCCCTGTCCTGCAGTGCTTTAAACTGGGGTGGGCAGCACCTTATGAAGGCTCAAAAGCTATCTGCACTTCATCCTCTGCAGTTTGGGAGAAAATCTTGGAATGGCTCCCCAGTGACCTTTATCCAAGGTACACAGGTCTGTCACACAAGAATAATGAAGGCGAGAAAGGATGGCACTTTGTGGCAAAACTGAGCTGCTGATGACAGCAAATTTCACATCAACCAGCTGCGACCACAAAAAATGCTCAGCATTTGAAGAATAGGAACTTGGGAACAAAGGCAGCAAGTAGAGAAACACTGAAAGGAGATGGAGATGAAGCGACTGTACATTCCCAACCCAGGATTGCCTCTGAGAAGATACTAAAGTAATTTGTCCACCTCTACACTACAACAACTTGGAGGGCATTATCATCCAGCTCCCTTTTACAATAAGACCATCCCTATCATTCTAAGATATCTTGCAGTATCAATGACACACTCAGTCTGAACAGGTTGAAGGGGCCTTTAAGGTACATAAAAATCAATCCTGACAACTCAGCAAGCCCTTATTGATTATGCTCTGTGCCACACAAAATGTAGAATTGAACCTGCCCTTTACCAACAAGAAGAGTTGGGGGAAGCAGGAAAGACTGGAGTGAGAGGAAGTGGCAGCAGAAGGAAGCAAGAGCTTGAAAGTGACACTGTGCAGTTTCTAAGTCATCAGACAGTAAATTTGGGAGCAATCTGGTTCAAGCAGCAGGTAGGAGACTTGAAGCAGCTGAACTTGGAACAGGATGGGCAGTGCAGCAAGAAAGCCAACAGACAAGGTGAGGGATGATCAACATCTCTACAAAGGCTTTTAAACAGAAGTGTTGGAGAAGAGCCGATATACTTCAGCACAACATCAACAGAAGGCCTGCATTGATTCACAAATAGCCTGGATAATGAGCAATCAGGAAGAAAGAAGGAAATTTAACAAGGAGATTGTGAGGTTAACATGATCACTAAGGATACAGGCAGACAGGCTTGAGAGGTAGACAAGGAGAGAGAGGTAATTAATTTCTTTTTTCTCCCTGTGTGAAATTCTGCAAAGACAGAGGAAGTAAGAGAGAACAGAGAAGCAGAAGAGAAGCAATAGGAACTATTTCCACAAAGGCAGCAGTGAAAGACATGAAAGGACAGAGGCACCCCAGATCACTGTAAGAAACTGTGAGGGCCATCAGAGATAAGAGTGAGGAAAGGGCCTCCATAGGAAATGACAAGAGAGAAACCATAGGGGAGAAGAAGAGGCGAAGGAGTCAAGTGGACCATCCCAAAGGCTCATGGGAAAAGCACAGGGAGAAGAATTTCTAGCTGAACACACTAAAAGTCTTGAAGCACTCCAAATAGCCTCACCTTGGACCCCCACCTCTGTCCTCTGTCCATTGTCTAGGAGCCCCGTTTCAGCAGAGGTCCAGCTCCTGCCTTGTCTGAGCTATACTGTAGGTGAACTTGTCCTCAGTTCTATCTCTGGGACAAACCTTAGACCTCCACTGCAGGCAGCTTGTTCCCACTCCTGTCTCTGGCACCATCTCCTACCTCTGGAATCGCTGGGTGGACCTGCACCAGATTCACCACCTCATCTTCTTTGGGACTGCTGATGGACCACTCTTATTGGCATCTAGTTCTACCTACACTGTTCATGTGTGGTGGGACTGTACCCTGTGAGTGAGGGCATTGCTGGTGACTGCCATCACCTTCAGCTACTTGCTTGTCCTGCCTGGAGGTGCAGCCCTGCTCTTGCTGCTCCCTGAGTCATGCTGGAGGGAACAAAAGTCAGGGAAGTGCAGCAGAAGCCCAAGGATCTGATGAAAAGGGAGATTATTGGCGACTGTGGGGAGGGCAGTGTTCAAGTGGTCACCACCAAGTCAATGGCCGCATTCCAAAAATGCTGTGGCACACCTTTACAATTGTGTATATCCACAAAACACATCACCACCTTAAAAAGCTTTCAATACACATGGTCTACTTCTGTTTCTGAGCTCAGCCTTTAAAACACTGCAAGGAGTGAAGAAGAGATCAGTACCTGTTCTCACAGCTACCCTGACCCCGCTGCTAAAACATCCTACACCGCAGGATGTGAGCCTGTGCTACAGAGAGAACTGATTACTGCTGCTTGCCCAGAGAGAAGGGCATGCAAATGTTACTGACCCAAACCTGGAGTGCAGCCAAAGGACTACTGGGAATGGCTACAGAATGTCTCTTTTCTAGAGTTACCCAGCTCTTCTTGCATCCTGAAGCTCCCCTTCTGTTTTTTCCTCTCCTCATCACTACTGCTACTGCATGCAGCTTGACTATACTCACCCTTGCTTCATGTGGATGGCTGACCAGCCTATAACATCTCTGTAAGTCCCACAATACACAGCTACAGTTTGATCCTTGCTATAAAACCCTGGTAAAAGGCAACCTTCTGTGCCCTGAATGTTGTTTATGCTCTGCAGTTCTACCCTCATCTTCCAGAGTAAATGTTCTTCAACCCAAAACCCTCCATTGCCTTCTTTAAACATAAACCATAGGCCTGATCTCCCCTCTAGACTGGAGCTCCCTGGTACTGCCCCACACTCCTCCCTCCCTGCAAGTGGGTGACCAGCTTTCTCTGCTAAAGGTCTGTCACACCTCCAGGTTTATGTCATGACTTTGCACATAAGACTCATCCCCTCACCGCAACACCTTCAAAGCACTCACCATGTGCTCTACCCAACAACTTCTTGCACATCTCTCACAACGACTACCTTTCTTTCCCCTTCAATGTGACTCCACACCTGCAATCTCCTTCACGTGTGGCAGACCCCTCACCTGTCCTGCCTGCCCCAACCACTGCAGGAGGCTGCCAATCAGACTCCTCTTTTTGCTCCTCACACCTCCTCCTCCACCACCTCACCAGCAAACTCAGTCACTTCTGCGTCCCCTCATCGTTCCAGCCTCTTCACCGTGTTGCATTTAACATTCAGACCAAGCCATGCACTTGTTACACCAGCAAACCCAACACACAGTGAGCCACCCACATGAGCAACACTTCAGTTCTGCTACACACTATACCACAGCTACTGCATAATTAATTTTAAGTGCAAAGCTTGTTTAGCTTTTGTTTTCTTGGGCTTTCAAATATTTTTAGAAACACAGTAGAAAATACTTTATGAAGCACTGTGTCTAAGTGCCCCTTTTCTCTCCCCCACCAAATCTCTGTCCAGACTTGTCCACTCAAATCACCAGCAAAATTCAAATACTGAGTATTTATATGTCCACTACAAAACTCTTATCCTTTTAGTCCAGAGACATTTATCCTCCCTGGTCTAGCATCTAGAGAGAACTTTATTCACAGCTTGTCAACAAATTACAAACCATTTGCCAGACAGGATTAAAATGATATAGACAGGCAAAATGGTTTTCTTGCCTTTAGAAGGAAGCATGAGCCACTGAACTGGGTGACTGAATCACAAACTGGGTGGATATCCTCTAGATGGGTAGATAATAGAAAAATGAGATGAACAGAAAGACTTGAGTTTATCTTACCAAGGACACAGCTCTTATTGATAACCCTGCCAGAGCTGAATTTGGGCAAAGTTTTTCATACTGTATTTCTGAGATGGCAATGAACTGACACTTGACTGACTTCCAGGCACGGACTGTAACATTTCAGCTACAAATAAGTACCCTCAGATGCAAGTGGCAGGTTGTAGAGCTGAGACTGGAGCTCCCCAGGAAAAAGGTTCCAGGATGCACTGGTCTGAAACATGGGAGTCTTCTTCTGTCTGCAGTTTGACCACCTTAGTGGTGCAGCAGAATAGCTAACGGGGCATACATCAAATAAAGGACAAACTACAGAGCTCACTACATAACTGGGCTCTTGCTCGCTCCTGCAGCTGCTTTCTGCCATGCCCCACTCCCTGGGTTTCACTGCTTCTCACAGCCAACCGCTCTTGGATTCCCCACCACTGTGTTGTGCCCAGCGGGGCTGACTCCTCTGTCCCTCCCTGCACCAGCCGCCCCAAGGAACTTCCACGGCCACCATCTCACATCCCAGCACCCCACTGGTGCCACTCCTGCCTTGCAGCATCACTGGGGTCATTGGGGTGCCACCAGCTGCACCCAGCAATATTCACTGCACCCAGTGAATGCAGAGCAAGGCAGCAACAACCAGCTCACCCCCCACTGAAAATAAAAGCGGTGACTCTTTAAGTTTCCCTGAGAGGGAGATGGTGGTGGGGGCTAAAGCCTCAACTGACCACATCATCCCCCATTACCTCATTTTCCACCCGCTTCAGCCTTGTGTTCCACACACAACACTTTCATGTACCACAGGCCACCCTTCCTCCTGCCCCCACTGCAGCGCAGCCAAGGAGCCAGGACAGAGCTGGGGGGTAACGCTGCCTATGCCTAAACCACTTCTTCCTGGGTTTCTGCCCACCCAGCTCGCATTCCCGTGTCTCATTTGAAAAACTAAATCCAGGGGCTGGCTCCCACACAGAGGGCGCGGGAACCCTCGCTCGCTTCCTCCCCCCGCTGCCAGCACTAGGCCGCCGATCCCCGGCCTTGCGTAGAGGCCGCTGCCGGGAGAGGCGCTACCTCGGCCGCTGGAGCGGAGAGGGGCCGGCGGCGCCTCCCGCACCCCCGCCACTCTGCCGAACGCCGGCACCCCGGCACTCCCAACACCGCGGCCCTGCTGGGAGGGGTCTCCCACGGCAGGAGACATCCAGGCTTTCCCGGGAAAAGGAAAACCAACCAAAACATACTCTCCCTCCTTCCCCATCCCCCACCCGCTTAAATAAAAACCACGCATCTCCAAGAGTCTGGGAGACGGCTTTAAGAGGAAAAAAAAAAAAACAAAAAAAACAACCCCCAACACATAACGTCCCCTGCCACCCGGAAACTGTCTAAAACATTAAAGAATTTAAACCAAAACAAACAAAACAAAACCCAAAAAAGCCAAAACACAGTCTTCTTATTTGATAAACTTTAGAAGACCCTACGGAAGGTCCATCTGAAAAGCAATTCCAAAGGGCTTCTCCGCCGTTTCATGGGGTTTGGAACAAACAAGAGGGGAAAACTGCAGCCTAAATACAGACCAGAACACACATCCCGAACGTACAAAACACAAACAGGCACGAACGCGATTAATACTAAGTTTTCCACGTAAACCCAGGGTCTTTCCCCCTAGCTATGCAATTTTAGACTACCACATTTTTTTCCAGGGGGTGGGATTAGGATCTTTGACAATATTTTTTTTTTTTTTTTTTTTTTTGCAAATCCCACATTTTTGGCGGAAGAGGGATTAGCTTCAAAATCTCACCCGTACTATTTTCACCGCATTTTTTTTTTAATTTCCAATTACACAACATTTCATCTATGCAGTTATCTGAAACCTTTACTTTCTAACGAAGCAACATCCAGAATTTCTTGTTTCTCAAGTCCACCCCTTTCTACATACACAAACACACACGAAATTGATCTAAAACAAAAATAATCCCCCCAAAATAATAATAAAGAACTCACCTCTCCTCGGGTTTTCCCCCCACACTATGCATAAACTTTCCTTGATAAATGGTATTGTATTACTAGAGATATTATTAATGTATTATTACTAGAAGTAATAATAATAGTAAGTGCTATTTAATTATAGAAGGCAGCATTCTGCTTCTGGATCGGCTGCCCCTGCAGCTCCCTCCATGTGCCTCCTGATCTCTTTACTTTCATTTCCAGGTCTCGCTCTCTCTCGCTCGCTCTCAGCTGCACCAGCAAGAGAAAATGCCTCCCTGCATATCCTCTGGGCCCTAGAGGCTACCGCTTTCCATTACAAAAATCCACAAATCTTTCCCTTGAGGCTGGTTTTGAGATTCTTTAAGGTGAATTAGGCTTTAAAAACAACACCAACAAAAAATTTAAAAAATAAAGCGCTTCAGCAGTCGACTCTCCGTTCTAATTTTAATGAAACATTTTTTTCTTCCTGGTTATCTTTGCTGATATAAAAAAAATATACCCCAAGAGAAAGCAAAGCTGCCTCTGCAGAGGGAATGCATGCATACGAACGCGGCGAGGAAGTGAATTGTGAGACCCCCCCTGGGATTATCACATTGGTGAAGCAGTGACCCTTGTGCCCACCCATTTGTGCTCGCTGGACGGGGGCCAGGGCCATCGCTGATGGCCGAGCAATTATCTGCTCCAGCCAGACCTCACTCACTCCACCCTGCGCTGCTGAGGGGGTTCCCTGTAAATAAGATTATCTGAAAACATAAATCTTTGGGTGGAAAGGAATATACATTAGCAAACAAACAAACAAACAAAAATAAAAAAGCCAAACAAACAAACAAACAAAAAAAAACCAAAACAACAACAGCAGAACCAAACTAAATACAAAAATAAAACAAAAAATTGTTTAAATCTCAATATTATATTTTATATGTCTGGGTATTATACAATCTGCATATATTTTATATATATACACACACGTGTATATATGTTATATATATGTAGATGCATATATGCAGCATTAATAAACCATATTAATATTAAATTATATATTATTGGGTAATATACAATCGACATATATATTATATGTATGTAGATGATATATATATTTATATTTATGCATACACATGTGAGTTTAGGCACTTTTTGGAATCAGATTTTTGGATTGTTTTCATCCCAAATCCCTCAATATTTCCAGCAAGTGGTCTGAATCTCCAAGCAGTCCCTGCCCCAGGAAGAGACCTGCTGGTTCAGGAGGCTGAGTGGGACGTGTTCTACCGTGGGAGGGGTTGTGGAGGTGCAGACACACAGACCATCTTAGCTGGGGGCTCACCCATCCCCACCCACCTGCACTAACTTCAAATAACCTCTGCAAGGAGTTTTATGCTTGTACAGCCTCCCTGGTAGAACAGTTTTCCTCTCCCTAAAGGATTCTGTCTACCATTAGATTAATAATTTCCAGACTGACACTGGCTTAAATTACCAGCTTTTTCCCAATCTAATCAGTGACCTGTTTACTCCTGAGTGTCTCACTTCTCTATTTACAGTGACCCACAAGAATGTCAGCTTGTGCTCTGCAACTGTGTACTCTGCCAAGATTCAAAGGCAGATGGAAGGTAACACCTGAAGTGTACCAAACTTGCTTGATATTTAAAATCATTGATCAGAAAAGGAAGGACTTTATTACACTGAGTAGGATTGGCTTCTGACAGCATTGCCAACACAATATGTTATGAATAAAAAGTTATCTATTTTTTTTTAAGGTTGCAGAGTTAAAACCGGTTGGACCAGTTGCTGTTAAATTAGCTTCATTGTTAAGAGTTCTTCTTCAATTGCCTGTTAATGGCTGGTGATTTAGCCATTGTCCCCCTGGTGCTTGCCAGGGAGCGACACTGGGACCCTGCAGCAGCAGGGCAGGGGAGTGGCATCAGAGCTAGAACGCAGACGAGAAATGCATTGCACTAAATCTTACAGTTTTCCAGGAAAACCCCTAAAAACAACGAGCCAACATAGAATTAAGGGACCTAGGTGATGTCTAAGGATGGGCGCGTAGTCCAGCGCCTGCTTGGATCCTTTTTGCTTCTCACCCTAACCTAAGATGTTAACTAGGGAGAGGACCCGAAGTGTTGGACTGAAAAGGTGGAATCTGCTAATCTCTCATGAGGACACAGTCCCCAGCTCTGCCTGCAGACCAGCGGACAAAGCTGCATCATCATCATCCTCCTCCTTCGTGCCACTCCTGGGAGCAGCGGCGGCGTGGGCGCGACCCGCCGATTTCTCCCCACCTAAGCTGATTCTCTTTAATAAAGGCATTAAAAAAGGAGAAAGATCTCCTGCCTATTTATTTCACAATAAACTGGTAATTTATGAAATACAGGCTTGTGTACTTGTATAGAGCACCTTATGATACTGGACAACATTAATGCTCTTCACAATATTTTATTGCAATGCACATTTTTAGGTAATGGTTTTGATCCAAAGATTGCTCCTATCCATGGATAAGACAATGTTTATTTTTATTAACTCTTCAGAAAATTTGTTATTTCTTAATTTAAGGTGGTGACACTGATAATGACTAGAACCTAAACTAAGCTTGGCCTCTGGTACTGAGTAAAATGTACATTAAATGACAAACCCTGTTGATGGAATGGTTTTGGGCAGAAGAAAGGTGGAGCAGGTCTGGAGGCAGAAAGCAAACACAGGGAGAGCAGATATGCCAGCTCACAGTGGGAGGGCAGCCCTGCAGAGCCATCACCAAATGAGTCACAGAGCCGAGGACACCTCCAACCCTGCAGCACCTGTGAAAGGGAAGGACATCACCGCTGGATGAGAAGAAAGGTTAAGAGGTGATGAGGAAAAAGAGGAACAAAACTAAATTTACACACAATCAAGAGTTATGCTGGAACAAACGCTAGTTTTTAATTTAAGAGCATTGATTGACAGGACTGCCTTTCTCCATTTAAAGTCATGTTGTGCTTTCCTCCATCCCAATTTCCTTTGTCTGTAAGACTGAGAGGTGTCCTGCGAGGTCACGGGTTGGCATGTACCGCTCCTCTCATGAAGTAAAATCTTTCCTTAGCAGCTAACATGAAGATTTTCACAGTTTGCAAGTGCAGTTATTGAGGTCTCAGTCTCATGTGCAGGTAGTCAGCAGGAGTCAAACACTGCAAACCCCTGCTACAAACCAGATACAGTGTCATAGAAGTTGCTTTAATTTGTAAAGCTATTTTTTAGGAAGAATGAATGTATGGATCTATACTACAGTGGCAAGGTACACCTACATTCCAATATAGCTGCACCTATAGTCAATGCCTTTATTCTTGCCCCTCTGGCAAAACCAGAATTTGGAAGAATGACAGGGAAGGGAATCTGATGTATTTGATAAGATCCTGTTTATTACTAAAAATTGTGAGGAACTAATATCCCATGCCAAATTTCTTGCTTGTATTTTCCAGGTTCAAGCTCCTTCTTGAGATCACACTAATCTAGTTCCTCATCAGCTCTATGTATTCTGGCAGCTTTATGCTTCTCACATACAGCCAGTCTAGTGTCTAAGAGGTTCTTAATTTTCTTCAGTTGCAAAAGAAACTTGTCTTACTATTTATGAGGCTGGTCACCCAGCACCATCAACTACTGACAATCTTTTCTTGGCTCCATATAAGCATTTGCTGCTGCTTATTAAAACCACCGGTGGGAAATTTGTGAGAGACTGGAAAATGCCTCTTACAATGTTTCGGGACTAAACAGCAGAACAAATCCTACCTATGGCCCTCCTCAACAGCGATCTCTCCAGGTATCTGCCACCTGAAATGGAACCTACATTGGTGTCTGTAGGGTGCAGAGAAGGGACAGAGGCGCTGTGCAAACCCATGCAGAAGCAGGCAGCTCTGTGCCCAGACTCATCCGATGTGCTTTTGTTTCCATACTCAGGAAGAAAACGTCACGCACAATGTGCAGACAAGGCTGTCACACAAACCAAGGCTTTTTTCCATCCTGGAGCAGGAATGACTTTGCACTCCAGGGTGAAAGCGACAGATGACAGTCGTATGCTGTGCCAGAGGAGGTTTAGGGTGGCCATTAGGAAGAATTGAGTCACAGAAAGGGTGACTGGGTATTGGGACATGCTGCCCAGGGAGGTGGTGTTGTCACCGTCCCTGGAGGTGTTTAAGACTGGATGTGGCACTCAGTGCCATGTTCTCGTTGATAAGGTATTGTTTGTTCATAGGTTGGATTCGATGATCCCAGAGATCTTTTGCAAGCTAACAGATTTTGTGATTCTGTGAAATGCCCTCCTTAGCAGAATGGTCTGCGAGTACAAACTGGAGACTCCATAGACATTATCTAGGCGAGGCTTCACATCAGAAGGTGTTCGTGTCCCACCTGCGGGCTTGCGGCAGCTGCCCCAGCGACACTTCACGGACGGGGGATGTGAGCGCGGCCCGGGCACGGCCCCGCTCAGGCCGCCGGAGTACCCGGAGCCCAGGGCAGGAACAAGACTACAGCTCCCGGCGTGCCCCGCGGCCGCCGCCGCGCACGCCCCCGCAGCCCCGCCCACGCCCGGCGTGGCGACACCGGCTGCGGCGCGGCGATGGAGCGCGTCCCTTTACGTCACGACGCAGCAGCCAATCCCGGAGCGGGGAGCAGAACTGCCGGCGTTCAAATCCTCCGCCTCCCCCGCCCGCCCCTCACCCAGCGGCCCCGGCGCGGCGGCGGCGGCGGCGGCGTGAGGCTCCCGCGCCTTCCCCGGCGGCGGCATCCCCGAGCAGGTGAGGGGGGAGGCGGCAGCCGCTGCCGTTAGCGGCCGGCGGCGGGGCCGCGCGTGAGCGGCGGCGATCCCGCGGGCTGGCGCGCTCCTCGGCCCCGCCTGCGGGGGGCGCTCCCAGGCGCGGCGGGGTCCCCGCTCGGGCCGCGTCACGCGTGTCCCGCCGCGGGTCCCTGCCCGCGGCTGCGGCCCCGCTGCGTGGGGCGGGGGAAGAGAGGAGCCCCGGGTCACCCCTGGAGCGAGCGGCGCTCGGAGGCTGGCGGGGGCCTCGGGCAGGCGCCCCGTTGCTGGGCGAGCAGCAGGTAGCCGCTGTGTTGGCTGTTGGGGTCGGAGAAGTGTGGTAATTAAAGTATTCGTCTGAACTGACTTCTGTGATCCTCAGGAAGCGTAAAGTTTCATACAGCCCTTAAGTGAAAAGGAAACTTGTCGTTAGGCATTTTCAGAGCTTTGTTGTGTTTGCCAAACAGACTGACTCTTCCCTTTTTTTTTTTTCCCCCCCTCCAAAGCTTTCTCTGCGGAAGGATTGACAGTGAGGAGACCTCTGGTAGGTTGACATTTGGGTGTGGCTGACACGTGCTAGAAAACGTGCTTCAGGATGTGATGCTGGATTTGTATGTTGAGGTTAGGTGTCTGTGTGTAAAGTGAAGAATGACAAAGGAGATTCAAGGGAAAGAGAAGCCAGGACGATGTAAACATCTGTAAGGAAGATGATCATAGTAGAATGGAACTGATTTTAAGAGTAAAGTTGTTAATTGAACTAGGTGGACAGACTAACTTCTGCAGATTTTAACTTCTGTTCCTGTCTGGTGAAGCCTTCATGGTTTGGAGGATGTCCTCTTTTTCTTCCTTCTCAGTGCTGGATTGGCAGAGGCTGGAAATAACCATGAGTTTGGTATCTGGGTGGTCTGATAGGAATGGAGTAAGTTATGTGGGTTTGATGCCTTACGTTTTAGCTTTCATATTTTTCAAGTTCTGTACTGCTGCCTTAGTGTGTAACTCTGAACTTCGTATAAAGTGTTAGCAAGTTCTCTTCCCAGGGCAGTCAGACAAAGCAATCCTTTTCCAGCCTGGGAACCAAGAGCACTGTTGCAGCTTCAGGCCCAAAAAGTGTAAACAACAGCAAACTGAGGGGAGCAGTCTGGGAGGATGGGAATTCATAACCTCAACCTGAAATTGGACAATTAACCTCATTATATAAATGGACCAAAACTTATAAAAGTGTGAAAACTCGTGTCCGGGTGTCCATCTTGGGTGGAGCCATGGCCAGGCTCTTGTACTGCCCAAGGTGTATCCTTTGAATGCCTTTCAGTAAATACCTACTTTATTCCTTGAACTCTGTCTAGCCTCTGCTCCAGGTAGCCTCAGTAGGCATCAGGTTTCTTTCTACTGACAGCACCTCCTTGAGAGGATAGTTATCCTAGAAAAGTTACGTTCTTCAGCCTTGGAGATCGTCACCCCTTGTTTCCAAAAGAAATATTAAAATTAGAGACCTCTGTAGAGAAGTCATACTCTGAGGAAGCTGGAGGCTTTACAGATGGGTATCCAGAGGAAAGTATGTGGAGGAAAATATGGAGCATTTGTATAGGGGATATTTTAAAACCAGCACTGTTGACCTCAAACAGCTACGAGAGTGTGGGGTCACTTCTAATCAGACAGGAGTGGAAGGGAACCAGTTTTCTGTTGCAGGAATGGAACTTCATTCCTTATGACTTCTGAAATCTAAGTGTGTGGTTTCTAAGCATTGGTTGTGTGTAGCCTTTTATCCCAGCAGAGGCAGTGGGATAAGAAATGTACTCTGTTTATCCTGCTCAGTGGATGGAGGCCAGTTCCTTCAGACAGTGATTAATATTCATTGAATAATGCTATGCAGATGCTACCAGGCATGGTTAGCTTCAAACTTAGGCCTCAAGGGTAGATTCAGTAATTTATTGTAGGTGTAAGATCATCCTGTTTGTTTGTGTGGAGCATCTGAAAGGAGCGAGCACCCAGGAAGCTGGGAGAGTTTTGTATGCAGCACACACAATGTTTTCAGCAACTCAGTGCTTCTGGAACTGTGCTGACAAGGGCACTTCTGGGAATATAACTGAAAAGGAAAAGCAACTGTGTTCATTCTAGCTTGCTTTGGCGAGCAGGGGAAGCGTGCAGCACATATAATTAAAGGATGGAGGTTGAAATGAGAGGAATATTGCTTTGTAATTGTTAATCTTGCACAAAGAGTAATGTCTTAATGTGGCCTTAATCCATAGTTTTACCTACTGTTTATTTATGAAGTATATTGTCAGTGTTGGAAGAATCAGCACCATCTGACTGACTGGCTGGCTTTGGAATATTAATCTAGCTTAGCTGTCTTAATTGAGCTCTGGGGAAAAGTAGTAATGACATTGAAAACTCAATTAGATATCTGAGTAACAAAATCCACATTAGTGTTCAAATAAGTATGGTTATTTGTATAGATTATCTATTGTAGCTAGAGAGTTTTTATGATGACTGTTTATTTTAATTGACAGTTCTTAACTTTTGGAAAAAAACGGGAAAATGGCATCAGAAGACATCACGAAGCTTGCAGAGTCACTTGCCAAAACCAAAGTAGGTGGTGGGCAGTTGAGCTTCAAAGGCCAGAGCCTTAAACTCAACACAGCTGAAGATGGTAAGAGAAAATACCCTTGTGCTTTGAAAGCATCTCCCTGAAGTTGTCAGATCTTGTGGTAAACTTTCTGCTAATCCTGCAGAAAGATGTGCCAAATTGTCATAGCATACCTGTGATGCAGGGGTCTGTCAGCTACAGCTGCTTCTGGCAGGGATGTTTCCTGCCCTTCTGGTACCCTGCTTTGACCTGGTGCCCTGGCAGTGCTGCAGCTGCTGTAACTGGGGTTTGGGTGCCTGGTTTGCAGTGGTTTTGTTCTTGGTGTTCTCTCCAAGTGCTTTTGACAGTTACTGGGCATTAGAAGTCAGTGCTCCTTTTAAAAACAGCAGTATCACAGCTCTTGGAACAAGACCTGCACAGAGCAGTGGGTGATATGTTAGCCTGCTGCAATAGTTCACTTTCTTTCTGTCTTGTTGCTGTATGTGTGTTTCACAATAAGTCTTACAGTGGCTGCTCATGGAAATACCTGGAGAAAATGTATGGATTAGATCAACATTTCTGCAAGGAAAACAGCATGACTTTCAGAGAGGCTATTTGCTATAGTATATAGCAAATCATAGCATATATAGCATATATACTATATGTATACTATATAGCTTTTTCTTTTTGCTGATGCTGAAGGTGGAGCTTTTTTACAGATGGATTTAGTAGTTCAAAGGCACTGAACTATGGGAAGGGCCTTGGAGCATGGGAACAATATCAAGTTCCCATTGGCAGGAGAGACTGCAGCTTTCCCCTTTGCCTTGCATAGGATTACTGTAGAGCTAAATTGTTCCACCCTGATGTGTTTGCTAAACCAACATTACTTCTGCCAGTCAGTGGGAGATTTTTCCTGTTGATGTGACATTAATGCCCATCAACTTTTAACTTTGTCTTTCACCTCTCCAGGGACGTACACTGTAGCTTTTAAAGCATGTGCTGAATGGCAGAAGAATTTTATTTGGGAAATAAAGAAACTTACTTTTGCAAATAGGAGGATGACTATCAGAATAGAACAAGAAAAAAAAAAAACCTGAGAAGGCAAGGTAGGGAATGGAGAGTGTTCTTTCTGGTGACCTGACACTTCAGCTCTGTTCCCATTGCTGTTTCAGGTCTTTTTCTAGCTGTTTTTGCTAGAGGTTGAACAAGTTTTAATGGATCTCAGAGGGTTACTGTGTTAACCAAGACAATGGTTAAAAGACCAACTAGATTATCTGCTTCTTGCAGCTGAAGAAGTGATCAAACAAATTGAGGAATTTGATGGCCTGGAAGCCTTGCGCCTGGAAGGCAACACAGTGGGAGTGGAGGCAGCAAAGGTTATTGCCAAAGCCTTGGAGAAGAAAAGGGAGCTCAAGGTGAGATTCTTAAGTGAGGGGTAGTCAAGGTGAAGACATAATGTGGAAGTATTGAAGGCCTGTCTAGGCTCTTCCTGCAGAAACCTGCCTTGAGTTACCCCTGAAGCTTACTTGGTGGCTCTTCCAGGAGGGAGGAGCAATCTTATGAAAATACAGCATAACTTGGAGACTTTGGGATAATGGGAATACCTTTGGCATCCCTAACTTCCTGTGTAGAAGGCTTCCAATCTTAAAGCTGGGAAGCTGTGAGAGGAAGAGCCTCTGTTGAAGGCAGCATCTGTAAACAAAGCCATGGCAACAAAATACTAAGTTCAAATGAAGTTCTCTGAAAAACTGAGTCAAATCTTCTGGAGAGTGCATCTTCAGAGAATGTCTGAGTAGGGAGGAAATAATGGAGGAAATGCAACAGGAGGTTCATCTTTGCTCAAGCTATGTTTTCCTACTACTGCTCTAGCCTAATGTTAGGGGGATGCTGTGCTACTAGAGGCACTACACTGTCCCTTGAAGGAGAGTGGTATGAGACATTGATATGCATTAATCACCCAAGTGTGGCTTTTCCAGTAAGTTCAGATTGTTGTGCTTCATACCTTAGTAAAATCTGCATTGCTAATGTATTCTTCTTTTCCTGTTGTTTTTTTTTTTTTGTAGCAATTTTCTCAGCAGAAAATAATTCCAGCTTGATCACAAACAAGAATTCTTGTATAATGTTTATTTATAGTGTGAATTTCATTTACTTTGTCCTTTCAGGTGAAGTGATTGTAACACTGGTTCTTGCAGCTCTTTAGTACAATCAAATGACAACCCAAGGGAAGGGAGACAGCATTAAGTTGCCTCCAGTGATATAAAGCATCTTGTATGTGTAAATGTTTGTTACAGCTGAGTTGACCTAAATATTTTAGTGGATTTATCTGTATGCTTCTTATTTTAGAGGTGTCATTGGAGTGACATGTTCACAGGAAGGCTAAGGTCTGAGATCCCTCCTGCTTTGGTAAGTAAAAACTAGATCTGAGACTTCTGACTAATATAACCTCTTTTCTCACCTGTCATGCTTTTTGTGGGAGTCTGTGTTTTGTTCAGAGCTGATCCTTCTCTGTGCTGTTAGCACTAAATGTCTCAGAATAGGTGAGTGGTTCTCTTTTGCTCTTCTTGTATGAGATGGAGAGGAGTTGATTAAAGGTTAAGTGTGAGTCCATGTGAAGGTGCTCTTCACTGGGAAAAACCATCTTCATGACCCAGCAGATAAAGTGAGAGCTAAGCTTTCTAAAGAAATTGTATGGCTGTGTCTTCTAAGGCATTACAGAGCTCCTCGTCTCCTCGAGTCCTGTGAAGCCAGAACACAAGCTCAGCATTGATGGAAACAGTATTTCCCTCAGCAGTGTAGAGCAGGAAATTCACTTTGAAAAGTATTTAACCTAAAGGGATGGGATAATGTCTTGGTAACTGCTTTATGGTTATCTTTAGCTTAATTTGTGCAACTTTCTCTCTGGATGTAGCGGTGAAGTTTTATTTCCTCATGCAGCTTTGCAGATCTTCAAAGTGGAATTTTTTTTTTTTTGCAGCATCACTGTCATACCTAGCCACTGCAGTGATGCTGTCACTGAAAGTTAATCCATTCCCTCCCTCCCACTGCCATCTGTTTCCTTACAGATCTCTTTGGGGGATGCACTGATTGCTGCTGGAGCCCAGCTGGTGGAGTTGGACCTGAGTGACAATGCCTTTGGGCCAGACGGTGTGCGTGGCTTTGAGGCTCTGCTGAAGAGCCCTGCATGCTACACTCTGCAGGAACTCAAGCTCAATAACTGTGGCATGGGCATTGGTGGTGGCAAGGTAAGGGTTATCTCCTCTTTGGGAATGAAGTTGGAAGCAATCTTTGATTGCCAACTCCCCTGCTTAAGGCAACTGCAAGTACGCCGGGTTCTTCAAGCTTGGTCTAGTCAGGTTTTGAATATGGACACTTCACAAGCTCTATGAATAGCCTATCCCTCACAGTAAAAAAAGGAGTTTGTGTAAAAATGGTGTTTTCTCTGCACTTTGGGTGCAGTTTTGTCTTTATAAAGGCTCTGTCTTCTTTATACCACCTTCTCTCCTTATCTTGTTTTTCTGGCTATTTTTACACATGGTTAATATGTCTCCCAGAGGCTTTTCTTCTACAGACTTAATAATCTCAGGGGTCAGTATTATCCTAGTGAGTAAAATTCTCCAGTTCTTCAGTTGTCCTCGGTACACTTTGCTGGACTTGCCCCAGTAAATCCATGTGGGAGCCTGGATACTGTGCTTTTCACAGGATGAATTTCACAAGGCTAAGTGGAGAAGGATCTGACCTTCTGTGGGTGCTTTTTCCCAGGGCAGCCCAGTAGAATTCCTTTGCTTCAAGTGAGTATTGGTAGCTCATGGTCAACTTCCTGCCCATATAAGCTTGCCTGATTAGAAGCAAAATGTACTTGATGGCTCTGTGTGTTTTAGTGTTGCAAAATTATCAATTCTTGCCTGAGACCAGTGTGCAAGTGTTGCAGGTAGAGTTTTATTGTATACCCTCTTGTAGAAGCAGGTAAGTGTCAGTGATGCCCAAAGTATTTCTCAAGAGGTGGATCTACAAAGCACAGATTCCTGTAGAGTCATATGCTGGGGGAGTATAAACTGCTTGTTTTATCTTTAGATATTGGCAGCTGCTCTGAAAGAGTGTCACAGGAAATCAAGTGCCCAGGGCAAGCCTCTTGCTTTAAAAATATTTGTGGCTGGCAGAAATCGTCTGGAGAATGATGGTGCCACTGCCCTGGCTGAAGCCTTCGGGGTGAGTATCAAACCAGAGCTGCTTTGACAGCAAATTGGAGTAAGGTATGACTCAGTGCACAGAGAGTTTGCCTCAGCCAGAAGGCAGGAGCTGGTGGTCTGTTCACTAAAGTCACAATGTTTCTTGCTGCTAAAACTGGAGTCTTCAACAAGAGGAATTAGAGTTGCTGACTGAGTGTTTTTATGACCTAAATTTCCAAACACATAGCTAGTTGCTGTGTAAAGTAGTTACCTGAGGGAGAAATAGTCATCTCCTGAGTAATGTAATAGTCCTGTTCCTTTTCCTTTCTCTATGCTATGGTTGTTGACTGGCACTGGGCTGGGTATCCCAGCTTGTTCTCATGAGTGCTGCTTGCTCAGTCATCTGGCAAAAGCAGCCTGGTGTTTTTGCTAGGATCATCTGGTCAGAGCTAGAAATGTTGCCTGGCTTTCTCTAGCTGTCACTGGCCCACTTGCACTTTTGTGGGAGGAAGGCAGTTCACTGTGATTGGGGCCACCTAATTCTCTTTTCAGACCTCAGCTGTTGCTAAAAGTGACTTCTGAATTACAGTGCATATTGTCAGGTATATTGGCAATGATATTGCAGGTTACAAGTTGACTTTTTTCGTAAAGAACTGCCTAGATGTGATTTTGATTAATCAGTAATCATGACAAAATAAAGATTTTTTTAAATAATAGAATTGTATAACAATGTGATTCGTGGAGAATCAAGATGGCACTACCAAAAGGGAGTTAATTACTGCATTATGTGACATGCTGTTTAGTCCATCAACAGTATTTGTACTAGGTTTCTTACATGTTTGCTTCTCAGGTCAGGACAAAATGTAGGTTTTAATTAGAAAATTAAAGTGATGTGTGGTCTATTTCAGTGTTCTTGAACCACAGGAAAAGAACAGTTAAGTTATTTAGAGTAGGCATATAGGACAATGATACTTGTGTCTCTGAATCAGGGCTTTGTATTTATCTGACACTTGCCATGCATCTGTGATTTCACTTAGATTTGATATAGAATTGCTGGTCAATAATTCACTGTAGAAGAACAATGGAGTTTTGAAACTCAAAACAATTTAATCTAAATCCTAAGAGTGGAGCAGCATATTCTTGAGCTGAAGTTCAATTGAAGCTGAATACTTTCTAAAAGCTTTTTTTTGTCTCTGTCCTTTCCCAGATCATTGGGACTCTAGAAGAGGTTCATATGCCACAGAATGGAATCAACCATCCTGGCATAACAGCACTGGCACAGGCCTTTGCTATCAACCCACTGCTTAAGGTTATAAACTTGAATGACAACACCTTCACAGAGAAAGGAGCTGTGGCCATGGCAGACGTGAGTTGTTTTCTGCAGTTATTTTGGGTTTTGTCTCCAGTCTGGTTGGCATTAGCACCTTTGGGTTGGTGGAACCATGTCACGTTGCAATAGGAAGGATGACATTCCAGAAGTAATAGGATGCTCACTTACCTGCATGATCACTTTCAAATCTGTGCTGTCTTGCTCTGCAGACTCTGAAGGCGCTTCGTCAGATTGAAGTGATCAACTTTGGGGACTGCCTGGTGCGTTCCAAGGGTGCTGTTGCTATTGCTGATGCTGTTAAAGAAGGGCTTCATAAATTAAAGGTATGTCTGCTTGCTGTTCAGCTCTTTGGAAAAATGTCACGTTTTCCATTTCATGTTTTTCTGTTTGTTCTCCTACTGCTACTGATAACTTTAAGATAGAATTCAGTCCCATGCAGGCTCTGTGCTCACAACTGAATCCAACAAGCTGTGCTATAGGTCAGTGGCATCCCACCATCCAGTGAGGGCTGTGCTCTGTGGAGGTGTACCAGTGATCTGTTTAGTCTTTGCTTGATGTTTTTGCAGCTGTTGGCTCAACTCAGCAAGTGCTACTCAAGAAATCTGATAATGGAAGTACCTGCGGTTAGAACTTTCCAGAGCTTCAGGAGTGGGGGCTGACATGAAGGGGACTTCATGAGCAGCTTGTCTTTTCAGCATTTCATAGCTCATACAGTTAATGCTTTTTCTCTGTTAGAACATCAGTCAAGGGTCTGAGTATTTTTAGTTTTTTGGCAATACCATAGCCTCCTACATCGGTATTTGCACAGGACTTGAATCTGACGACATTCTGGATAGGCTGAAGTCAAATTGATGACATAAGCAAGCTAGGATCTTTAGAAACACCTGCCATGAGTCATAACTACCCTGAGACAGATGCTGAATGTGTGATTCCTAATCTTGCAGTCAGAGACAAAAATTAACCTGATACCTATTTGTGTGTATGAACCTGGTATAGAAAGGAGTAAGTTCTTTGTGGTGTGTGATCCCTTGCTTGGGCTTCTGCTCATTCTGCTGGAACTCATCTGAATCTCCCAAGCAAACTTAAGTTATGGGATATTGAGATGAACAGACAGAAGTTGTCATTTTTTTTCCAGAGCAGAAATGGTTAAGGGAAGGTAGCATGAAGCAATTGCAGCTGATTCATTCTGTTCAAGGACTGCTTCCCTTCTCCTGTTAATATTCAATCCCTTCTCAGGAAGAGTTTGATTGAGCACAGTGTGGAATGGTGGGGGATGGTGTCTGGCTGTTGAATTACTTCACTCTTACTAGTCCACATGGTTTCTCTGCTGGCTGGGTCTGTCAGAAGTAATACCACTCATGGCTTTTTTTTTTTTTAAGGCCTTAACTTGCAATTGAGGTGTCAAAGGAAATGTGCAATCTGTTTAGTACAGTAGCTGCCCTTCTTCTGTTAGACTTACCAGAGTGGGAGTTTTGGAGTGCTCTTGAGCCCCTTGATAAGTGAAGATCTCCAGTCAGGTGACTGCTAAGGACTGAAATGTCTGCTACCTTTTAGGTGAGCAGTGATTTCTAGGTATTTTAAAATTGCCACCTTTAATAGTGCTGCCCTTTACCACCAGTATATTTCAAAATTCCCCTTTCAAGTATATGAGGTAGAAGTATATCAGGCTTTATTTTCAATTAATAGCACTTTTTTTTTGCTAGGAGCCTCTTCAAATGGAAGTCTTTCCAGGACACTTGTGAGGACATGAAATTTATGGATATGATAGATCTTAATAGGAATTCTGCAGACAAAATGTTCTTCTGCATTTTTAGGAACTGAATTTGTCTTTCTGTGAGATCAAGCGAGATGCTGCTCTGACTGTTGCTGAAGCTATTGAAGATAAGACAGAGTTGGAGAAGTTGGATCTCAATGGTATGTAGGTTTGCTAGATCAAAGTATGTATAGTTTGATTCCAATGAGAAACACTAGGAAGAATGTTGACAGATCCATATATTCTATTCTTGCAATTGTCAGCATATGAGAAACAGTACTCAGTAGCTGAACTTGCATGACCTTGGGGCAGGAAATGAATTTTTGAACCATGAACTGAGTTAATTGGGAAGCACTTTTGGTACACCTGAGAAGGTGCAGAGATTAAGCTGATACCTATACCTGTTTTCAGTAAAACTCTTAATTATTCAGTTCTATCTCAGATACTTCATACAGGTAAACAAAAACCTTTGTGTGTAGCTCTGCAGAAGAGTGTGAGAACTTTGACTTTGTTGGCTTTTTCTGTTCATACTTTGGGTCACTGCATTTCACTGGTGCTGTGCTGTGTGTCCTTGTTTTAGAATCACTAAGAACAAGAGCTATTTAGAGAAATAACAGCAAGTCTCTCAAACTCTGAAGCATTAGGGGATTTTCATCTCCAACCATTGTGTAATGCTGCTGAAATTTGTTTAACAACTGTTTGATAAGTGCAGTTTGTGTTGCTGCCTCTAAGGTGTTGTGCAAAAATGACATGTGTTTGGTTTCAGAAACAAGAGATAGACAAGAAAGTACAGCTAAGTCCTCAAGAACAAACTTGTGTGCATCTGTTAAGTCTACTGTTTCCTCTGTCAACCTAGGTAACTGTCTGGGAGAAGAGGTGTGTGAGCAGCTCCATGAGATCCTGGAAGGCTTCAATATGGCATCAGTGCTAGGATCTTTGAGGTAGGCATGGTACCAGAGTTTAAATCAGATGTTTTCTGACAATTTTAATCTACACTTCCATTGACCTATCTCATCTTAAAATAAGAACTCTCTCATTGGTGGTGGATGTTGTTCTGAGTGTGGAGCACAGCCAAAGATGTCTTAAACTTGTCTTGTTTTCCTTGATGGACTTACCTCAGCATAAGTAACTGATTGTGTTTGTTGATCTTTTCTTGCTGTTCTCAGCTGGGTGACTGATGTCTGAGTGTCCTCTTGGTATGTTGTAGGTGGGATGTGCTTCTTGCAGTAGGACTTTGAGGAGAGGCTGCTCTTTTGATCTTGAAAAATTGAGTTCCAATGTACGGGAGTTCCAGGTGTGTAATTAATGGAATGTGTAACATTCTAACCTTAGTGATGATGAAGGGGAGGAGGATGATGATGAGGAGGAGGAGGAGGAAGATGAAGATGAGGAGGATGAAGAGGAGGAGGAACAGCAACAGCTGAAGGAGAGAGGAGCAGAAGAACAGGAATCACTGACTCCTAAGAAGATAATTGATTCACAGGTAAGCTTTCTGCCAGATGGATTTTTGGTTTCATCAGCTAGAGAAGAGTAAAGGAGGAAATGAGATTGTGGGGTCTGAACTTGAAGTGCTGACAGGCAGTCACATTCCTGCATGGGCTGGCACTTTTGTACCACTATTCAGGAGATGAAATGGATTGGTTGGAAAATGTGTTTGGTTAAAGTGGGCATGTTGTACACGTGTGTGGAGGGAACACTGAGTAGTGGTTGTAGCAGCACATGGGTGGCAGAAGTCTTCCATGTTCAGAAGTGGTGGGTTCCTTGTACGTGCAGTGCCGTGCCCTCGTGCTGGCCGATCCTGGCCACTTCAGCTCTGGGCTTGGGTCAGCCTCAGGCTGTTTTCAGGCAGAACAGGTTCTGGCCTGGTATAGCTGTGCCCTGAGCTGTCCCATCTGCTTTTGCTGAACCAATTGATTTACTTCCAAGAATAAAGTTGAGATGGATTCCACCTGTTTCAGGCTTCGACTCCAGTGCCATCTCCTCCTGTGGATGTTGCCACGTTCCTTGCTTTCCCATCACCAGAGAAGCTGCTGCGACTAGGACCAAAGTGCTCTGTGCTGATAGCTCAGCAGGTAGGTGAGCTGGTGCTTGTCTGGGCTTGATTTTTCTCTCAAAATTAATTGCCAGAGATGATAACTTGACCTAAATTTGCATCTTTTTCTCCAGTGATCCCAAAGAATCTTACGGAAGCAGATGATGCAGCTAATGCTTAAACTGGCATCAGAGCTTCTACATAAAATAATTGTGTTTGTGTTGCTTGTGCCTTGTGATATGGCCAAGGCAAAACTGATGTCAGTCAGCTGAAGACTAATTCTTTGCACAGCCCTAGCAGAGACCCATGTGGTGTAGCTGTCTAGCAGTTAACTGATCTCTATTTTTTTTTTCTCTTTCAGACAGATACATCTGATGTAGAGAAAGTAGTTGCAACCCTCCTAAGGATATCCTCAGTCTTCAAAGATGAGGCCCCAGTGAAAACAGCAGTGCATGAAACAACAGGTGATTGGGCCTTTCTTCACTTTGTGTTCAGTGCCATAGACACCACTGCAAGGTGGACAAGGCCCCTGTGAGCCAGTTCATTGGGCCTTTTTGTCCCTGGCAGATAAGAGTGCCAAGCTGTGCTCTGCTGTTGTGTAGAGTGGAAGATTAATTTTGAACCTGGCTATATTCTGTGCTGCCAAAGCCTGTCTCTGTTGCAGTGGCCCAATGCTGCCTTTACTGCTGCATCTCCTTGATGCTGGGCAGTCCATAGCCAGTAGTTCTGTGTTCTAAGGCCAGTTACCTTTCCAAGGCTGTTTATTTAAAAAGTGGTTTGCAGGAAGTAGCCTCCCTAGTGTAGTGTTATGAGGTTGTAAAGAGAGACCTCCTAGTTGATGTCTCTTATCTTTAATTTCTTCAGGAAGCAGAGATTTCCAGCATGGGGCAAGACAGAAACCAATGTTCAAAGAAGGGACCACTTCTCACACTATAGTGGAGTAGTAGTTTGGGTTAGCTCTGATTAGTGTGTGGACTACTAGTATATCCCTTCATGGTTTTGCTTGGAAATAGGCATTTCCAAACAATCCTGGGCATCTGACCACTGTCTTTCATCTTTTTTGAATCCCCCAGCAGTTCAGTTCTCCCACACATGAGCTACCCATCATTATTGTGTAAAAGAATTGGATCAGTTATTTTGAAGACCACTTAAAGTGGTGTACTGTGCTTTTCCCTAGTTTGGGCTTTATAGATGTGGTGAAACTGTTGTTTTACAAACAGCACAGTAGCTCTTGCAGTTGGTTATGGGTTGAATCAGTGAAAAACAGTCATTTGGCACCTCACTGAGCTAGTGCACCTTGGCTCCTGCCTGTTATGAGTTGTCTCCAGTAAAAAATGGAACAAAGGATATTACTGTTGTCCCGAGTGTGTTTGTTAACATGTTTATCTTTATCCCTGCTTCTTCAGGACAGGTAGAACCTGGCAGTTACTTTCCTTCCATTAAAGCAGCCATCAGCTGACAGTAGGGCCCTGGTTAATGTCTGGCACTGTTCTACAGCCACTCTAGTGAATTCTGCCCATTCTAAGAAACAGAATTGCCACCTTGTATACATGAGAGGTTAAAGCATTGGTTTGCCCATTGTTTGTGGCATAGTATTGGTCCTGAGGGAGCCCAGACAGAATTGTCAGAGGTCAAAAATGGGTTGCCTTGCCACCTTGTATACATGAGAGGTTAAAGCATTGGTTTGCCCATTGTTTGTGGCATAGTATTGGTCCTGAGGGAGCCCAGAAAACAGCTGACAAACTTTCTCATTGTGTTCTCTCATTCGTTGTGGTTTCATTTAAAAGGTGAATTGTTGCTGGCCTTTAAGAAGTCAGGCTCTGCCTCTTGATGAGCTCTAGCTCATCTGCTCGTTTGTATGCATGTTTATATGCATGTATACTCATAGCATGCATGCTGAAATGCACTGAGCAGAGCATCTGCTTGGTGGTTCATAGGACTGGGGTGTATTGCATCTGAAGCTTGGCAGTGTGGGAATTCTCATGTGGGCTTTGTGTGTTTTGCTGGATGTTTTAAATTTTGTTTTTTCTCCTTTATACTTAAGGGGTTTTACCTGTCTTAATGTTTCAGAGCTTATAGCTACAGAGGCAAATGAAATCCTAACAGATACTATATCACAAAACTGATTTAACAGCTGAGTTTCTTACAATCTTACAATCCATAAATGTCCTTTTTCTGTGTTCATTACACTAATGTGCTTATCTCTTTTTAGATGCCTTGATGAAAAAAGCCTTCAGTTCTGCCACATTTAATTCAGATGCATTCATCTCAAACCTCTTGGTCCACATGGGACTACTTAAGGTGAGGAAGCAGGAAAGAGTTAAGTCATGTTCTGTTTAGGCTGTTGAAGGCCAGACTGGCAGGATTTTGGGTAATTATGTTGCCATGGAAGCAGCTGGGTGCCTGTGCATGCCTGATGCCCAGGGACAATGGAAGTCTGCAGGTCCAGCAGAAACTGCAAATTACAAGGTTGCATTAGGATGAAGGATGTGTCGCCTTTTTGTACATCTCCTGCTCAATGTGCTCTGTATTCTCAGTCATTCCCTGAAGGTAGGGAGGCTCAGCCAGGGCAATAATGCTGCTGCTGGGCTATAGTGCCTATGAAAGCCATGTCAATGTTATTAGTTACTGGAGTCCTTTAGGGCATTTCTTGAGAGCGTGTCTCAAAAATATGTATCATCTACTCGTGCCAGATCAATGGCATTCCACTTCATGCTTTGGAGACTCTTTGCCAAATGCTAGTGTTAAGTGATTAGTTGCAAGGAATAAACTTATTGTGAGAAGATGGAGGGTCAGTAGGAAGCCTGTGATTTTCATAGAATTAGTAGCTTTATTTTCAGTGAGGTGACTGAAAATAAAGCTACTAATGGTGACTGTGGAATGATTCTCTGCAAATCCTTTAACATCTTTGCCTGCTTGTGCTACAAGAGTTAGTTTCTCACTGCCTCAAGACCTGGAAGCTGAGAATATAAACTTGGACTAAGACAATTCCAAACTACAGAAATGCCATAAATCTGTTATAGCAGCCTGCAATTAAACAGGTTTAAGTCCTTCTGGTAGTATCCAACTTGGCATTCAGACCCTTGTCGACATGCATGGATATGACTTAATCTCCTAAAAATCAGTTTTGCCTCTCCCTGGATTCATTGTATACTGGACCAGCACTGAGCACTTCCCAGAAAGGTCAATGGAGCCCAAGGTGACATTTGGTTCTGCAGAATGCCTGTTTTGAGGACTGCCACCTACCTCTTGCCCATATGGAAAATAGCAAAATGCATGAGGCACAAAGCACAAACCTGTGCTCCTGAAGAATTCTTTCAAGCCAGGAAGTGGCACTGGTGATAAAGCCCAGGAAGATCAGCTTGCTGATTCGCATCTGTGATGTGCCTGATTCATCCCCAGTCCCCTGCATGTGGAGAAGGTGCATACTGCATTTTCAGTCCTGTGTAGCTGGAAGGATCTGAGCAACAGATATTCTTAATACTTGGAACTCGAAGGTCATACAGCGGAACACAGGTCTGGGTCCTGACTGCAGAATGAGAGTTTTGTTGAAATGCCAGTAGAGAAATAAATGAAAATAATGTAAGAACACGTGGGGCATCATTACATTAGGAATAAGAATAACTTATGCATCATGTAAGCAAGGGGGTGACTGTTGGCCTTATCTTGTACATAGCTGTGGGACCAGTTCTGGGAACCCTGCATCAGGTGCTGGAGGGAGCCTGTCAGAGAGCTGCAGGTAGTATAAAAATGAGCTACAGAATAATACAATAAAAATTAAGGCAGCTGAATTTTTTGCAGACTGAAGTCTGGTAAAATTCCTCAGGAGAACACTGACACAGCCTCTGGGAAGATTTGGCTGTTTCACTTGCAGATTCACTACTTCCCTTTCCCTATTAGTACTACTGTCAGTTGATAAGTACTAGAATGTTCTTGATACATTTCAGGTGCTGGAAGGCTATGGAATTGGCTACCTTTGTCTTGTACTTGATCTGACCAGCTTTCTGTCCTGCAGTGTGTGGGAGCACTTCATTCAGCAGAGGATTCTTTGTCTGGGAATTACAGTGGGTTAAATCAAATCCCAGTTGCCTGATGTCTGATTTCTTGTCCATTTCTCAGAGTGAAGAGAAGATCAAAACTGTACCAAGCCTCTATGGTATTCTTATGACCTTGAACCATATGGTCCAGCAGGATTATTTCCCTAAATCCCTGGCCCCAGTTCTCTCAGCTTTTGTTACAAAGTGAGTATTGTATTTGCCATGCAGTCTTCTCTGTGGGAGCTTGTGCAACTCTTTGAGGGTTAATAGCTATGGGTAAGCTGTTGTGAAGGGCCACTAAATGTCTGTTCTGAAACATTAATAGCTTAATGGGCCTCTATTTTATCTTGTTTACTGCAGTATGTGAGGTTCAGAGTTAAAAATCCTAAAGAGTGAAAAGTGGGAAGTTGGCTTTGCAAGGAAGTGGCTCTGAAGGAGAGACTGCTAATGCCTCTCATGGAAGAGCTGTTTTGAGCTTAAGGAAACCTGCTGGGTTTCTGGCCACTGCATGAGTGAGCTGTGGATACACTGGATCTAACTATGCCCTCCAAGTCCTCCTTGAGAGTTAAGAGGGTCAGCAGAGCTCTGCCAGAGTTCTCATGCTGTGTGACACTGAACACCAGCAGATGAAAACTGCAAAACACAAAGACTGGATTTGTTTTTAATGGTGGAACTTCCTGCTGTGACAGCAACAGAGTTAGTGATTTCTCTGAGAACTGAATGGGGAGCATAAGTACTGAAGCTGCTTTTACTGACTGCCTGTACTGAATGTTGTTACTTCCACAACAGGTATAGAGCCAACCCCTGTCCCCACCAGCTTTTGCTTTTTAATGCCTTAAATGGCTACGGAAACCATATCTCTCCTGAATTAAATCAGTGTCAACTTTAGCATTGATGAGATTTGGGGAAAAAACACCCACCAAATAGATTTGCAGTAGCATTGATACTGCTGTTCAACAGTGTGAGGGGAAGCAGTCCAAACTCGTCACTCCAGGTGAAACAGCAGAGGCCTGAAATCTATTTGGAGCTTGGTGGCTGCCTCAGCATGGACCATGTGCTGTGCAGGGTGAGAGCAGCTTTTTAGCTGGTTCCAGAATGAGGCTTAAGCCTTCCTGAATTTCATGATATATGGGTTGGCAGCAGCTGCTTAGGATGCCTTGCTGGTGAAAGGTGGAGGCATTTGATAATTGTGGTCAATATGAAATGTAGGCAGTAGGAATGCAGTCAAATACTGCTTGTCTGTCTTGGTTCTACTGGGCTTGGACACTGGCCAGTTCTGATGGGGGAAAAGAATTTTTCCAAGCATTGGTGTGGCTGAAGCTGTCGAAACTGATATGGACACAAACCACTGCTGCATAAACACCAACCATGCTACTGTCAGTTTTGGGAAATAAAGCATCTTGTTTACACATGTGCAAATGCTAGCTGGAGGCCCTTCTTGTGGAACACTTTTCCTGCTGCCTCCTCTCTTTGTGTTGATCAGGTTAAGGCACTTACAAGCCAGTGACCATGTGCTTTACCAACTGAACAAATATACCTCCAGCTCAATCATTGTAGGTTTAAGCAAGAAAATCACTGAATTTCTGCTGTTTCCTGCAGTGCTACCTTACCCTTGCTTATTGATCAAGCTCCAGCCCTCAAAATGGAATTTAAATTGTTGGAAGCTGAGAAGAGAGGAGAAAGACTTTGGTTCAGGGCATTTGACTGTCCTAATTGTTTATGTCAGGTAGCAATGCCCAGAGTAGCCTCTTAATTCTAAGTGTCCTAACAAATTTTGCTCAGAAAAGGCACTTGTCTCCCCTCTTCCTGTACATGTGCATGTAGGCTTTTCCTAATAAATACTTTTAAGCTGTAGCTGATGCTGTATATGACCAAATAATGAGTAAAATTTTGGTCTTCATGAATTCATCATCAACAACCCTATTGAAGCCAGAGCCAGCATTTCACTACAGGAACAAGAAGGGAGAGTCTCTTGATGGAAGTATGAGGCTGTTCATAGGCTCTGTGGAAGTTGGGAGCCTCTCTTAGTGGAAGGCAGATCTTCCTGCCTTCCTGTACTGTGTGCCAGTGTTAATCCAAGCCTCCACTGGCCCTGGTGCTATGAAGTGCTTGGAGCTGAAGTTTTCTGCTTTACAGACTTGTTGCAAGCTGTGCTTTTAGAGGGAAGCTTTTGTCCTGTGCTGCGTAATGAAGTCCACACTAGAGACAAGCAATCTGTCTCTTATGTGAACATAGGCCTTTCTTGCAATGCTTCCCCTTTAGGGAACAAGGACAACAGCTCTTAACTCTGTGTCTGGGTAAATGTAAACAGTTCAAGAACCCCACAGTCCAGTTAAAAGAGCCTGGTGTGGTTTCACCCAGCTGCCACCAAAGCCCTCACAGCCATTTACTCTCACCCCAGTGGGATGGGGAAGAGCAGGAGAAGACTGAAAGTGAGCAAACTTGGGGATTGACATGAAGCTGGGTTAATAGGTAAAGCAAAAGCTGTATCTGCAAGTAAAGCAAAATGAAGAATTAATTTATCACTTCCATCATCTCCAGGAAAGCTCCATCATAGCTAGCTTCTTCCTTCTTCTTTACCTGATAAGCATGATGCCATGTGCTATCCCTTTGGACAGCTGGGGTCAGCTGTCCTGGCTGTGTCCCCTCTGGATTCTTGTGCCCCCAGGCCTGCTTGCTGCTGGGGTAGGGTGAGAAACAAAGTGCCTTGATGCTCTGTGAGCCCTGCTCAGCAGTGACTGAAACATCCCTGTGTTAGCAGCACTGCTTCCAGCACAAATCCAAACACAGCCCCTCCTGTGAAGAAAATTTTCCCAGCCAAAACCAACACACAGCTTCTCAATTAGCCTCTAGCCCTTATCTCTTCTTGGAATTAAGCCAGAGTATAGTTGCAAACCTGAAGTTAAACCTCTACCTGGTTAGCCTAGTAATATTCAGAACTTCATCTGGCCTCTGTTTCTGCAACAAATCTAATCACGCTCTGTCAAACTATGATTCCTTGATTCCTTCATTTGCAGAAAACTAATATGCATTTTTTGTGGTATTTTCTATGTTTTTTTTTCCTTTTGGTTTGCAGTTAGCTCTTCTGGGCTTTTAGAGCTGTAAAATTCTTGTAGCTGCCTAGGCCAGAGCTCTGCTTCTTTCACTGCAAGGAGGCTTCTGGAACAGGCATTTACCTCCTTCCTTTTGTGACAGTTTGTTGTTGTAGGCAGTGTTCTCTAGTCAATAATTACAGAATTTTGGATACAGACTGTAAACAGCATCCATCTTACTCTGCTTGCTGTCAAGCCTTATTTGGGTTTTTTGGACGCAAGAGGGTGCTGTGAATCCACATGTGCTTTCTTTCCCATAATTTTTTAGGTGGAAATACTGAAAGTATGTGGATGTCTGCCTGCCCACTTGTGACTTGCTGGAGGTGATGGGATTTGTCTTTGTTTGGTTTTTTGGTTTTTTTTGTTTTGTTTTTTATATTGCTCTTTGCTGTTGAATTGCATCACATCACTGGTCTCTTCCAACAGTCTGTAGCATAGAGGGCCAGGCAGGTAACTCCACAGCAAATAAGGGGATTTTATTGCTAGAGGAGGCTTAGTGTCAGGAGAGGGGGCTGAGGGATCTGTGATCAACATCAGTGGTCCAGGTTCTCTATTTCCAAAAATGGGCAGCTGCCTGGATGGAAGCAGCTCCCTCATGGCAAACAGGGCTGGGTCTTCCAAAGATGAAATGTGTCTCCCAGCCCCTGTGAAGATCAACTGCAAGCTGTAATTCTGTGACACTGTGTTCAATATGAGGCACTGAATGGCTCTTGGGGGGATAAAATGGTTGAGTCTTCTCCAGGATGTGCTTCTGTTCATGGCAGCAGCCATGGAGCGAGGCACCAAACAACCTCTGCAGCTACTGGTCGTGTGCTCTACACCTGGAGGTGAACTCCTTGCTCCTCCCTAGATACTCCACTCTTTATTTCAGCTCACCTTTTTCCCTAGATTGAGTAGGCTTTACAGCTGTTCATTGTTAAAGGTTATTGTGCTGCAGTGAGGGGGGAGAGAGGTAAAATTTTAATGATTACTATTCTCAGAACAGTGGAAAGCATTGGATTAAAATTCTTTGGAGGAAGTTCCCTAATGGATGGATTGAGACTGGTAAAAGTTTCAGTGATGCTGAGCCAGCAATTAGCCTGCAGAAACAGAAATATACATTACTGGGACACGTTGGAAATGTTACAGAAATTTAGGCTCGTGTTAACCCTGCTGTGAGTGTATTTCCATGGTTTATTTTCAGGGAGCAGATTATTCTGTGTAAATCTGATTTTACTATTGCAGCCTCTGTCTTGGGCCCTTTCAGGTGACATTCTGCATGTTCTGTGGGCTGTTTGTAAGGCACCCTGAAAGGTGGCCCTGTTGCCTTTTTCCCAACCTGGAAATGAAACTCGAGATAATTTTAGTAAGGAGGTAATACAAAAGGTGATCTTTATCTGAAGACCTGCAGAAGCAGTTATGGAAAGATGTCCCCAAAAGTCCACCCCCATCAGGGGTGAGTACATTTTATAGGTTTTAGGAAATTGGCATAATTGATAAGAAGCACCAATTAGAAGAACAAATGGTGATGCAATTCCCCACCAGGTCAAGCCCCTTCTCTGGAGCCCCCTCCTTTAGCACTAGTTGTGCTCTGTCCATGAAATGTATCTTGAAGAGTTGTTCTCAGCCTTGGTAAGAACCAAGACAGTATGGAGGCTTGGAGCTCTGGAATTTGTTTTGTCTTTCTGCTTAAGGAAAGGCCATGCAAAAGTACTGGGAAAACTGGTCGTTAATACAATAGACCACAGAGCTGCAAATACATGTGTGAAGAATACAGAAAATGTAGAAAAAAAAAGGCAAAACATAAACAGCATGAGCCCAGCAAATCCAGTCAGGTGTTACTTAACCTCAGGGAAGTGTAACAGGAGGTTATGCTGCCTCTTTTAAAGACTTTAAAAATCCTGAGACCAAAGTCACCATCTGATTATAGCTAGCAGATGACTTGGTGAAAAAAGATTGGAGTGCTCACAGGATCATCTCCTGTGTTTTGGGGCTCTAAACAGTGAAACTTTATGGGAAAAACCCATTGCCAGAAGAGAGGGAAGGGGGTTTCCACATCCATCATGCTACCCAAAATGAGACACTGGGCTGCAGAGATAAAAGTCAGTAGCAGATTGTTTGTAGTTATGGAAATAAATGTTCTGATTCTTGGCCACTGTCTTCCTGACTTGGACTATCAGGAGAGAGAGTTTTCTACAGCAGGCTCTGAATGGGAAGCAGTGACCTGGGCAGCAGTGATGGAATGGTATTGGAAAAGATAACAGGGCATACACACCTAATGCATTGGAAACAGTGTTTATTTGCTTAGTCAAAGGCAGACACAAAGCCATTCTTAAATTCAGTGTTTTAAATCTCTCTCTCCCTTCTTTCCACAGACCCAACCGTGCCCTTGACTCCTGTTCGTTTGCTCGCCACATGCTCTTACAGACCCTCCACCAGCTGTAGGAGACAGGAGATGAGCCCTTCCCTCCCCACAGGACTGTCAGCAGCAGAGAACTCGGAGCTGCATTCTGGGAGAGGATCCCAGAGCCCATACAGACATGCTGTCCTTTTTTTTTCTCTGTAGGAAATCTGTCCTTCCTTCTGCTTTCATAAACTCGAACAAATCCTGCTGAACTGTCTTCCTACTCCTCTTGAAGTGATTCCCTGGTCTGTAGGGCAGGTGCTTACGCTAAAATAAGTCTGTACTGCTGTGAGCTCAGCATGAATTGAAGAGTTCTCCATTTTGGTTGCATTGGCAAGGGTGCCAAGATTAACACAGGGCCCAGAAGAGCCCTCATCTGGATCAACCCAGTTTGGCATTTTCTTTTATTGGACTTTGACTCCTGCCTTATAGCATGTAGCACTGTGCCAGAGGGAGCTGTGCGTCTGCTGCTGCCCTTCTCCGGGCCAGAGGGGTGAGGTGTGATCCCCTTTGGTTCTTCTTTCAAGTCTGTTGTCAAAGGCAGTGTGTGGCTGATTTTTATTTTAATGTACTTTTCCCCTTCTGCTGTGGCTTGGAATATTTGTGTAGTGTGGCTGATCCTGGTGGCCATTGCTTAAGGGAGCGAACATATTTTATTGTAAATTTTTTTTTGCCATTGCCTGTGTCATTTATTCTTCCTGCCCTTTTCCTTCTCACCCTAATTAAATAGGCTTGGTTTGGAAATTAATACAATCCATGAAATTCCTGTGGAATGTGTCCCTTTCTCTTCCCTTTGACAAAACACTGGACCTGTGTGCACTGTTCACATGTTTGAAAGCCAAGCACATGTAAAAAGAGGGAGAGAAGGTGCTTTTCTCTTGCACTGAACAAGTAGCAGCAGATGCCACTAAATCTGTCTGGAGGATTGTCCATGTGCCCATACATGCCTTTGAGCCACCATGACATTCCTCCACACAACTTAAAAATGTTTATGTCGATTGCCTGAAATGTTATGTAAATAAAAAATTAACTCCACATCATTTATAAAACCTACACTGGGCTTTGGAAGCCTGTTTTGCGGCTTTATGTGATTGCAGAGTTTGCAGTGGAACACAAAATGGGATTGGAATGGAGCCTGGTTTGTGTGAGGAGAGAGGCACCAGTGAAGTGACCAGCCAAGCTGTCGAGTCACAAACCTTGTTTCTGCAGCGCCCCCTCTCTTTGCTTGGTGGTCTCCTGCTCCTGTCCAAACAGGAAAGTGGCAGAGGAGCACGTTTCCCTCCAGGCATCTTTGAATTCCTAGCACAGTCTAAATAGGAAAAGCAGTGCCAACACTTATTAGCAGTAGGCTGCTACTCATCTGTAAGTAGTGTGAGGCAAACGTTGAACTTGTTACTGTCCCACATTCCCAGGATGAGGTAAATTTAAGCACTTCATCTCATTGGGTAAAAAACTAGGCAGGCATTCACAGGAAAATTCACAGGAACCTGTAAATATTAAGAATGATTGGACTAAAAACTTTATCACAAGTCTTTCTGGTGTGACTTCATGGACATCCAAGATTTGGCCAGCCCATGTCTTGCTGGATTTCCCTCTGGAAAGCTGTGACTTGGTGCTCTGACCATTTAAATGCTGATTTTATTTCCCTGCCTCTTATCAAACTGCATGGAGTAGTTATTGAATTTTGCAGTGGTTGTGAGAAAATAAATGTTCTCAAAGGGCCAGATCTGTTAGGCAGAGCTCGGTGGACTTGCTAAGGTTGTACTGCCCCTGCATTCATAAAGGTCAGAGGGTTACAGACTCATGACAGCAACATGGCATTTAGGGCTTTGGCCAGATTCCAAATTGGTGCGGTCAGTCTTGCTCTTCTTCAGGATTTGGGGCTTTTTAGCTTATATCTACTAGCCCTTTGTAAATATGCAAAACAATATTTTTAAACGTGGCCTGCTTAGCAAACCAGAACACTCATCTTGCCAAAATGTGTCTGTGCTTGCTCTCAGAGCACCCTGGCTTTGTGTGGAGTCCTCCCTCCGAGATTTTGCACATCTACAACTTTTATAGTGTGCTGGGTAGTGGGTGCAAAGCTCACAAGCAGGTGAGGAAAATGGAAGCTCCAGCTCAGATTGTCAGCCACAGTTCTGAGACTGCAGCTGAGGATTTGCTCCAGACAAATAGGAGTTAGGATGTTCTGATGTATTCTGTTGGACAGCAACACCTCTCTTATGGCCTCATTTTCTTGAGGATGAGAACAAAATAATTTTAGATTAATTTTGGCTTGTTAGAACTGTCAGAGTCCCTCACTCTTCCACAGTTTCATTCACCTTCCTGAGGAAAGAAGCCCTTGGATCCAGCAGCTGACAGGAAATGATGCTGACATCATTTGAGGTGCTGACATCAAAAGAAATTAGCTGACAGCTAATGATGATTATTTGTATAATCTAAAGGTCCTTTCTCTTCCTTTCATTTGGGAACACTTGCACTCTCTTTGTGTCCCTGAGTTCAGCTGAACAGCAGCCAAACTACATCACTCAGTTATTTCATTAGTCTTTTAGGAAGGGCAAGACAAGCAGGAGAGCAAGGCTGGAGTAAGAAGGGCTTCTCTGTGATAGAGCTGGAAAACCTGAATTGCAAATTAATCTAAGAAACACAAGAAAAAAAGATTTAATGTTCCTGACTGTAGGATGAGCAGGAGCAAAAGAAGAAAAAAATGATGGGTAGAATTCTTTAAGCTCATTAATACCTTTGGAGGAAACTTTGCTGTAAAACATCACCTCTGACTTCTTGCAAGCCTGTGAAACTAACAGAGGTTCTGGGTCCTAAAATACAACAAGTGCTGAAGAAAAAGCATAAATGGGAAATCCAATTTCATCAAACTTTCCAAAATCATGCTATCAGTTAATTATTTGGTCTTTTCATTAAATCACAGAATCCCAGAATGGTTTGGGTGGAAGAGACATTAAAGCTCATCTCATTCCCCTTATGGGCAGGGACACTTCCATTATCCCAGGCTGCTCCAAGCCCCATCCAGCCTGGCCTTGGACACTTCTAGGGATCCAGGGGCAGCCACAGCTTCTCTAGGCAATCTGTGCCAGGGTCTCACCACCCTCACAGGGAAGAATTTTCTTCAAGAAAAATTACCCAGCTGATCAAAGTTTTTCACAATTTCCCTTTTTAAAGCAACAGGGAAAAGCTCGCCTAGGAAATTAAAAATTCTTCTTAAAAAATGTATCAATTTACTCTTCCTGAGTGAATGTAGGATCTGTGACAATGCCACACTTCTTTTCATGAGGGACTGTTTATTTTCAGGGCCAGATTCATATTTATGTGATCCCCTCTAAAAGAAATAGACAATTAGATAACAAAAATATGCAGTTATAAATCAGTTAGGGTTATTCTACCTAAAATTTATATCCACTTGCTATGAAATAATAAGCTTGAACATCATCCTGTACTCATCTACACCAAAAAAAGTTATTTTTTGATGGCTACTACCATTAGTAGCCATCAAATCCCATGTCAGAGCTCTGCTGTGAGGGATGCCCAATCTTCAGAGGTCTGCTGCAATCCAGAACTGTCCACATGGTGTGACTCAGCTTTTAAAGGTAATAACAACCTGGTTTTGTCTGTCTTCAAAGAAAATATCTTTTTTGGGGGGATTTGGTGTTGGTAGTATTTGGGTTTTTCTGAAGGGTGGTGGTGACAGATTTTTTATATTGATTGTGGATGCTGATTCTTATTTTTTCTGAAGAAAACCCCCCATATTCTAGATCTCCCATTTAGATCTCAAAGCACTGAACAAAGGTGGATTCCACTGGTTTATACCTGTCTTTGCCTGTTACTTTCAGGGAACATAAAATGTTTCTGGTTTTAGGTTTTACTAACTCCTTCCAGAGCTGATTTATGTGAATGACTTTTGTCTCTCCTTCCCTGGCCTTGCTGGCTGCCTCTGTTCTGCTGCTGGTTTTAATTCAGATTAATTTGGCTCTTCAATTCGAGAGCCTGTTTGCTTGAGGGTCAGTAGAGCTCCCAGTGGGCACAATCATGCTTAAACTTGGCCTCTTGGCACTGCTGTAATCTGGAGATAAAGGGGCATAAAGTTCTAACTTGGGACCTTGGATTCTTTAAATTGCTGATACGTACTCCCAGATACAATATCCTGAAAGGCTGGGTTGATAAGCATGAGTTCTCTTTGTTCCTTGCATTTGTCAGGCCTTTGAAAAGGCTGGATAAACTCCTAAAGTGAGCTCTGTGGAATTGTTAAAATCAGCTCCTCTGATCTCAAACAGAGGAGAGTTGTGGTTTTTCCAAGGTCAGGTAAACCTGTTCAATAACTGCTGCCACAAGCTGCTACTCCAGCGGGCTCTGGGAATGCAGGGATTGCTCACAACTTCTGGTGGGACAGCAAAGGCCAAAAATGACAGTGGTTCCATCCCCTGAGGCATATTCAAGTCTAGATCCCTCTGACACCCATGGTGTAACTCCTCTGCTTATATAAAATGTCTGTGAAAGTTAACACACTTTTTCCCATCATGAAATTTATCCTGCATTTTTCCAAAATGTAATTATTTACCAAAGTGGGCTGTCCTGACATTGGATTTTTTGAGCCTCTGTGCCTTAAGTCCTGAAATATTTGGAGTTTATTTTATTGCAAAGAATAATTGCGGTGTATAGTGAAAGCATTTGGCTTCTGACTGCCAGCTCTCATTCCACCAGTTCAATCAGGAGGTGGTTAAGGGTTATTTATAGCTCCTAGACATTCTTTAGGGATGAACTCATCCACTGAAAAAACAAGCAGCCGTGGTGCTCGTGGGTAATTTACAGCAATTTTTAAGTTAGGAGAAAACTGTGATGGAAATTGGTTGGGACACTGACATACTCTGAGCAAACAGAGATCCACAGCATGCAGGTATCCCTGAGCTGGGAAAGGCTCAGTTACCTGTCCTAAGGAATTATGTAACTTTTTCTTCTCTCATCCTCTAATAGCACAGACAAAAACTGAGTCAAAAAGAATTTTTTTTTCAGTACACTCCACTTGTTCTTGAATTTAATTAAAATAATTAATTCCACCAGAGTTGGAATACATCATTTTACAAGAGGCAGAAACTCAGGGTCTCCTTTCAGCAAGATGTTTCTAAATTTTAAATCATAGATTTAAATGAGAAGGTTTTTTTATACATACCACACTTCATTGCCTTTAATTTACGTGCATATTTACATCACTCTGGGTGCACAGTGAAATCCAGCCTGGCTGTGATGTCACTACAAGACAGAGAACCCATCACCTCTCCTGTGAAGTTGTGACTGCTGAGATGTTCCCTGGCCTCAGGATCTGTGCTGGGTTCAGTGCACGTCTACTAATTTTAAATAGATCTTTTCTCACATAAAACTGAGTCCTGCCGCTGTGGGTTATAGAGAATGGCAGTGCATGTCTGTGAGCAGCCTGTCTGGCTCAAAATATGAACTGCTGTGCCACGAAAGAACCGTAGATTTTCAGGGGAGGCAAAGGAAATGCCTTTATGGACCTCGTGGAAATACCTTTATGACCTCATGTTATCCGTTTATACTCTGAGTCATTAAAATGGTTGCTTCTTATAAAAGTTATCTTTGCTAGCAGAGGAATATGTGGGCAAATGCTCCCTCTGACAATCAGTGTGCTTTGGATCAGACTCAAAATACACATATCATTCCAACTTAACTTTCCTTGACTCCTACTGAATGCTTTGCCCCCAGAAGAAAAGATCTGACTCTCCATAAAACTGCAGGCCATGGTGAAATTCCTGTCAAGCACTGGAGGTCCAGTGTGCTCCTCAGGATAATTGTAAATTACTCTGGAACCCGCTATGCAACAATGAGATTTTGTTCCACCTGTGGCCCGCCAGCGGATTTGGAACAAGAATCTAGTGTCAGTAGGTCAGATTTATTGCACAGTGTCCTTTCCATCAATGGGAAAAGGTAGGGGATCTATAAATCAAAAAAATATTTGACAACCCTCCACTGTGCCCAAACATTCAACATCTAAACAAGTTGCCTTTCTG